GCTGTGTACCTGTACAGGGACCAGGAGAATAAAAGGGTCCTTTACTAGGTCATTGTAAGAGTGGAGAAGGTATCTTGCAATTCTGTCTGAACTGGAGCCATCTGCTGTCTGCCCAGATTTGGGACTTCTCTTAAAAGAAAAATAACAGTATGTAGTAAATTACAACAAGCAGAAACCTGCCTTTAAAAGCCTAATGTAAAATCACTAAGTACGGATTTGGTTGATATGAGTTAACATACATTGCATTTGTTCATTAAACATACATCTAGAAAAAAAATATTGCTAATGTACTGATAGCACTTAAAGTAAGCTGAAATAATGTACAGATATCTTTGAACAAACACGAAAATCAAAATATTGAAGTGAAACCTAAGCTCACCATGCTATGAAAGCAATGATGACCTTATTACCAGGTTAGATTGAGAATACATTAGTGTGCTTACTGAACATGATATTGTATACAATACTGAAAAATGTGCAAGTGGCAGAACAATTGTGGTCACAATGACAGACAACTCAGAAGATACAAGCGTCATAATACATATTTTACATCTACGTTACTAGAAGTGCAACAGATATAAATTTCATACAAGTAAAAAATTTACACATACTGTTTTGCCTGTATATGTCTGATAATGTTGCAAGCTTATAACAGTTCTTTGTTATCTTGCTTTTGTCAAAGTCCATAGAAAACTACATAAATCATTTTTAATTAAATAAACATCATAAATGAGCTTTGTAATGTTATCTTATGACCAGCAAATAGTGACTTCCTAGTTCATAAAATGTGGTCAAAATCATTATTGCAAATTGTCAGTCAAGTATCTTTCATTTGTCAAAGTAAACTTTTTCCTCCAGTATCAACAAATGGTAATGTATTCTACTGGAATCAACATTACAACTCCAAATTATTAGACACAGAAAACCATTTATGAGAGACCTTTTTCTCTCAATGTCATAAACCTTCCCTGCAAAAATAAAATTTTCATGGACACAGTTTTATATATTACATATCAAAAAATAAGACAAAACATTCCTGCGTTAAATATTCTAACCGCATTTTAGGACTGTAGAAATGTGCTACTTTTTATATTTATAACGTACCATAGGTCCACAGAACATTGTATCCAATCGGAGATAAGCTATTAGCATAACAGACTTAATTCATCAAATCTGTGGCTGCTATCTGTTATACATCATTGCACTGTTATTAGACAAGACCATTACAGTGCTGCTTTGTACATTGCTATCTTCTGCCTATTATTATTTTTATTGTAACAGGTTTTAAATTGATGCAGATGCCATTTATGAACAAGCATATTGAGGCACATCATTATTTTTTCTTTCCGCTATTGCTTTAGTGTACAATCTTACAATTTCCGGAAAAAAAAAAAACAGTAAACCCTTCAAACTGGAAATCATTTTTGGGGTTACTGTTTCCCAAAGGAGTTCTGGATTTGGTCTCTGTAGGCTGGTCTCCTAATTTATCAGTTATTTTCAGGCATTTTGGTCATCTTTCATAACAAAAAGTCCAAGAATTACAAGTTATGGAACCGACTGCTGAATGCTTGCATCTACTCCCACCTAAAATAATCATTCTCTTATACCCATTTTTCTCAGTAGTTTTATGGTCAAACTAGAGAAGTACTAATACATTGGGTTGTCTGTTTTGTGCATACCCTACCCAAGTTCTACCTTACCATGTCTACAAAATCCTATCCTGAATTTACAGTCCTCTTTGATGGGGCCTGGCACAGAGAATAAAGGTTGCTATAGATCAAGGGTCTCCAAACTTTCTAAACAAAGGGCCAGTTTACTGTCCTTCAGACTTTAGTGGTTGGAGTACAAAAATGACATAGTGGTCCATCATTGGTATTGATGGGAAGAATAGTGCCCCACCATTGGTATTGGTTGGAGGAATACTGCCCTATCATTGGTACTAGTTGGAAGAATAGTGCCCTATCATTGGTACTGGTTGGAGGAATAGTACCTCATCATTGGTATTTGTTGGCAGAATAGTGCCCCAGCATTGGTAGTGGTTGAAGGAATAGTGTCTAACTATTTATGCCAGTGGAAGGCATAGTGCCCCATCACTGGTATCAGTGGAAGGAAAAATGCCCCATTGTTGATGTCAGCGAGAGGAATAGTTCCCCACTGTTAGTGCCAATGGAAAGGAATGGATGTGGAAGGAATGCCTCCTTGTTGGTATGGAAGGAATGCCTCCTTTTTGGTATCAGTGGGAGGTATAGTGCCCCAAGGGCCAGATAAAGGCAAGCAAAGGGCCACAGTTTGGAGACCACTGCTGTAGATGGTAAAATTACTTTTCTACAGACTTGCACTTAAAGCGATACTAAATGTAATTTTTTTTTTCTGTAAAATAACAAATATGTTATACTTCTCCTCTTCTCAGGTCCCCCACAGGCTCTCCTGGCTCCTTTTTTCTGCCGAGTGCCCCCCGACAGAAAATGGGGACACCCGCTGCTCCATGTGTCCATTCACACATGGAGCAGTGGCTTGGTCCCACCCACCCCCCTCCCATCTCTCCTCATTGGCTGACTGGCTGTGATTGACAGCAGTGGGAGCCAATGGCTCCCACTTGCTGTCTCAGCCAATGAGTAGGCAGAGACCCAGGAAAGCCATGGCTGTCATACACAGTTGCTGAATTGCTATGGGGTTCAGGTAAGTATTGAAAGGGATGGGGGTACTGCTGCACACAGAAGGTTTTTTACCTTCATGAATAGAATGCATGAAGGTAAAACCCTTGAGCTTTTACAACCACTTTAACTATTGTGATATCTTTTAATACTCTTGTCCTACCACCCTCAGTAGAGAATGGAACCCATTTACTACATGTGCAACACCAAAATCCAACGCAATATTCATGGCCGCAGCAGAATCTACCATTGCTTTTAATGAGGGATCTTCCCTTCTATGATTATCCTAACCCAGTTCTTGCTTGTTAGTCCTCTATTACTTTATAATACACACAGTGCTGATGATACACTTAAAGCAGCAAAAATGAAATTGTAATATTGCAGCGTACCAACTCTTCAATGTGATTCCTGCATTTGCTTTCTTTTTTTTTTTTTATAAGGCTTTTTGTGGGTGCAATGCTACCCAGGCTTCTAATAAAAAAAAAAAATAAATGCACTTTTTTTTTTTTACCTGCAAAAAGATGTGCATGTATTCTTTTTTTTTTTTAAAGTGGACCTATCCTTTTCCTGACAACAATTCTAACCCTATATCATTTTACTGAACAAAGCTGTTTTTGTTGCAGTCGGCATAACCATTGGAACACAAAAAAATGATTAATTCATTCAAATTAATATTTGCAAAAAGGCAGGATTTTTAATATAGACAAGACAAGCTATGTCCCTTCTGCATTAAAGTATTTTTACCTGCTTGCTGGCAATGTACACTGAGCAGTGCACTCTTATTGCACAACTTGGACACGTACTGAGATGAATAAACTCCTGCACATACATGGGAGTCATGTCATCCTTGCCCGGGCAATCAAAATGGCTGAAGTTTGAAACCCAAACGATCCCAGCCAAAACATGTCAGCAGAAAGTGTGTGGATAACTTCCCAATCGTGATACAGACAACTGTTAAAAAAAACCCTGACAGACGTTGTATCCCTTTTCTCCTATCCTTTCCCTGTTTTGGCTGGAACTGGGTTTTAAACAATATACTGTATTCTTCCTTAAAAAAAAAAAAAAGATAAATAGGAAAACTTTTATTACAGAATATCAAATATTACTTCTTGCAAAAAAAAAAAAAAAAAGTTTTAAACTGAGCCACGTATGTCAGGCCTATTTCATATTCCTAATGATCTAGTCATAATATAAAAAAAACAGGTTTATAGTATAAAAACACGTTAGTAGTATACATCATTCTCTTCCACCTACATTGAAAGCTTTTAGATACGTTTTTTTAAAAAGGCTGAGTTGCAGATCTGATGTTTCTTCCCTTTAATCTCATGCTATGAATGTCTTCTGCTCTGAGGTTCCCTTTTAACTGCTCCCTATACATGAATTTGTCATAACTGTGTATCTTACAGCATACTGGTACTAAATAAATGAAGAGCCTGCCAACAGAACTATATAGATCTGTCCCATAAAGCATCTTGGTTTACAAACTATATCGGATTCATTAATTGCTCTCCACCTACAACTACATTTCATTTTGGATACATTTTTATTTAGGGCGAAGGCCAGATTGGGGTTCCCGCTCCCACATCTGACAATTTTAAAACCACTACTGAACATTTACAGTAGTATTTGGCTAGTGATTTCCCTGTGCTCTTAATGCATGGGCAGTACATTGCCATTGTGATAGGGCAACAAAGTTGCCTGTTGACTTGCTAAGGTGACTGCATGTTGGTAGATGCCATTAACATCAGTGTGTAAGTAGAATATTAAAAGCAGAACAAGTGACAAGCAGTTCCCCTATAGCAATAGCATTAAATGTAACTTTTTTTTAAAGAAATCATAAATATGTACATTATAATTACTGTTCCTAGAGCTCACACAACTTCAATGTTTTCTATTTACAGTAGAAAATAGAAGAAAAACTATTTAATACGTTTCCAGCTCTATATAAATATATCTACATCTTATTAGATTAATAAAGCAACGTAAACCAATGCTGGAATTATAAAGTAGTTTGCTGGCAAACTCTGCTGATCAGAATTAAGCCCCAGGTCAGGGTAATCTAGCAGGTGTGCAGAGAGTCTCTTGTGTTGGTTTCATCATGGGTAATAGACATTCTGCAGGTCTTTCCAGCACAATGGTATCCTTTAAAACACAGTAAATGGAAGTGCGGATGCTAACAGACTCTGTTGATTACAAAGTTTCCTCCTTGCACATCTGAAGTCAGGCATCAGTTGCACGTTCTATAAAAGCAATGAGTTGCCAGCACTGCTGCACTCGTCGCACAAATAAAACATTCTAGAAATTTACAAAGAAAAGGTTGAAGTCTGTAAAGGCCTCGGAGTTTCTTTACTGCAGGCCAAATCCTTCTGCATTGGAAATGGCGATTGTCAGCTTCTGCTTTAATTCCTTCTTTGTTTTGTAGGGGGGTAAACACAGCTGGTTAAAGCACGTGTGTGAAACTGGCAACCTGGAAAAGACAGACACATTAGGAAGTTTATACCAGATACTTGCAAGATGTTAAGCAATCTAAATAGCAATCTAAATCCTTTTTATGTCCACAGGACCCTGTGCCTGGTTGCTATCCACAGTCACACATAATAGTAAAAAAGCAGCAAACCCAAATACTCCTGCGCTTATGGATGGACTCAGTAAAGATTAGGACCACATTGCGAATGTCCTGGATTGTGCACTCCGTGCTGCCCTCAGAGGACCAGGGAAGTCCAAATGTACTGAATAGAGAAAAAACAAACAGAGGGCGCACCGACCTAGTGCATTATCTTAAAAAAACATTTATTAAAGAGAAAAGTAGGTAATGTACTCACAGATGACAATACAGTCAAAGGCACTTCATGAAAGAACAGCTCTGTCCAATCCGCACTACGTGTCTGTCCACAATGGGAACCATGGACTTCCAACAGGCTTAGAAGTCCAGGGCACCCATTGCGGACAGACACGTAGTGCGGATTGGACAGAGCTGTCCTTTCATGACGTGTCTTTGACTGTATTGTCATCTGTGAGTACATTACCTACTTTTATCTCTTTAATAAATGTTTTTTTTAAAACATAATGGTAGTTGGAGAAATGTTCAACTTTATTGGCCCTGGTGTCATTGTATGCATCTCTGTGACGGTTATAAAACATTGTTTTGCCTAGCCACTTCAAGACCACAATATTTATTTATTTCAGGTACTTCTATAGTGCCGTCAATTTATGCAGTGCTTCACATATATATTGTACATTCACATCAGTCCCTAACCCTCAAGGGGTGTACAATCTAAGGTCCCTAAATCACATTCATACATACACATACTAGGGACAATTTAGACAAAAGCCAATTAACCTTCAAGCATGTCTTTGGAGTGTGGGAGGAAACCGGAGTACCTGGAGGAAACCCACACAGGCACAGGGCAAACATGCAAACTCCAGGCCGGAGGTGCCATGGCTGGGATTCGAACCAACGACCCTAGTACTGCCAGGAGGAAGTGCTAACCACTTAGCCACTGTGCTGCCTGTATATATACCACATATACACAGTGAGGAGCAGAAGTATTTGAACACCCTGCGATTTTGCAAGTTCTCCTACTTAGAAATCATGGAGGGGTCTGAAATTCACATTGTAGGTGCATTCCCACTCAGAGACAGAATTTAAAAAAAAAGTCAGGAAATCACATTGTATGATTTTTAAAGAATTTATTTGTCTTGCACTGCTGAACATAAGTATTTGAACACCTAAGAAACAGCAAGAATTCTGGCTCTCAAAGACCTGTTACTGTGCCATTAAAAAGTCCACCTCTACTTCACTCATTAATCTAACTTAGTAGCACCTGTCTGAGCTCTTTAAAGACACCTGTCCACCCCACAGTCAGTCAGACGCCAACTACTACCATGGGCAAGACCAAAGAGCTGTCAAAAGACACCAGAGACAAAATTGTGGACCTCCACAAGGCTGGAAAGGGCTACAGGGCAATTGCCAAGCAGCTTGATGAAAATAGATCAACTGTTAGAGCAATTGTTAGAAAATGGAAGAGGCTAAAGACGACTGTCAGTCTCCCTCGGACTGGGGCTCCATGCAAGATCTCACCTCGTGGGGTATCACTGATGATAAGAAAGGTGAGGAATCAGCCCAGAACTACAAGGGAGGAGCTGGTCAATGACATGAAGAGAGCTGGGACCACAGTTTCAAAGGTCACTGTTGGTAGAACACTACGCCGTCATGGTTTCAAATCATGCATTGCACGGAAGGTTCCCCTGCTCAAGTCATCACATGTCCAGGCCCGTCTGAAGTTTGCCAATGACCATCTGGATGATCCAGAGGAGGCATGGGAGAAAGTCATGTGGTCAGATGAGACCAAAGTAGAACTTTTTGGTCTAAACTTCACTCGTTGTGTTTGGAAGAAAAAGAAGGATGAGTTGCATCCCAAGAACACCATCCCTACTGTGAAGCATGGGGGTGGTAACATCATGCTTTGGGGGTGCTTTTCTGTGAAGGGGACAGGACGACTGCAGTGTATTAAGAAGAGGATGAATGGGGCCATTTACTGTGAGATTTTGAGCAACAACCTCCTTCCCTCAGTCAGTGCATTGAAGATGGGTCGTGGCTGGGTCTTCCAACATGACAACGACCTGAAGCACACAGCCAGGATAACCAAGGAGTGGCTCCGTAAGAAGCATATCAAGGTTCTGGAGTGGCCTAGCCAGTCTCCAGACCTAAATCCAATAGAACATCTTTGGAGGGAGCTGAAACTCCATGTTGCTCAGCGACAGCCCCGAAACCTGACAGATCTAGAGGAGATCTGTGTGGAGGAGTGGGCCAAAATCCCTGTTGTAGTGTGTGCAAACCTGGTCAAGAACTACAGGAAACGTTTGACCTCTGTAATTGCAAACAAAGACGTCTGTACCAAATATTAACACTGATTTTCTCAGGTGTTCAAATACTTGTAATACAAATAAATTCTTTAAAAATCATACAATGTGATTTCCTGAATTTTTTTTAAATTCTGTCTCTCAGAGTGAAAATGCACCTACAATGTGAATTTCAGACCCCTCCATGATTTCTAAGTGGAAGAACTTGCAAAATCGCAGGGTGTTCAAATACTTCTGTTCCTCCCTGTAAGTGGTATACCAGGGTTAAGGCTGAAGCTGATTAGCTGCTGGATCATTTTAGAATCGGCGTGACAGGTCGTCGTCCCCCCTCCCGCCACTCTCTGGTGTTTTCCGGGCTTACCGTTCTCACAGGTGAGCCTGGGATCCAATCTGGCATTTGCAGCAACTGCTCACAGAGGTGAGGAGAGATCAGATAGTCTCTACTCACTTCTATGATCTAGGAGGACCGGAGCGACGGTATGACGTCTCTTCCAGTCTGGGAGGATGGAATTTTTCTTTATTGAAAAGCATAAGATCAGTTGTTTTTTATTTTTTTATCTGATGCTTTGAAAGGTAAAGGAGACATTTGGGGTCTTACAGACCCTAGATGTCTCCAGAAAGAGGACCTGTCATACTTATTTATATCACAAGGGATGTTTACAAATTAAAGAGACAGTGTTAAAATAAATATATAAATAAATTAATACATTTTAAAGCGCCCCCATCCCTCCATGCTCACACGCAGAAGTGAACACATACATAGGTCATGCACACATATGTAAACGGTGTTCGCACCACACATGCGGTATAATGAGAACCTCTGCGTAAATACTGTGTGACATAAAAAATTGCAACAATCGCTATTTAATTCTCTAGAAAAAAAAAGAAAAAAAATCTATAATGTTTTAAGTAATTTTCGAGCAAATAAACTGATTGTTACATGTAAACAAAAAGTACCAGAAAAAGCCTGGCCCTTAAGCACTGAACCCTGCTTTGTCCAATTTTTTATTCTGATGATGAGGAGATCTGGCCAGAATGAGCAGGGGATGGGAAGAGACAGCCACAGAAAAAGGAACAGCATACAAAGAAGCAACAGGATATGCATTTGAGACCATAGGCAGAGGCAAGACACACAGCAAAAGGGCCTATGAAAGTACATTGAAGATGCATAGGGGAGACGAAAGATGGTGTGCTGTAAAGCTGTACAGGAAATAATAGGCCATTAAGCTACATAGGGGGCAGTCAGGGGGTGTACCTTGCACAGTCAAGGTACATGGGATCAGCCTTTGAACATTCTTGTCAGAAAGTCACTTTATGTTGAAAAGTAATAACCTGAGGCTGAGGAAATTGCGGTACCATGAAAGAGGAGACTCAGGGAGTTGACTCACTCAACACAGCAAGAGTGAGGGGGTTAGGATGCTGTGAAGAGGTTGTGCAAAAGCGGCAATCAGTGCAGTCATGGGTCACTCATGGTGTACAAGGCCCATAGGAAGGTTTCAGGATGTAGGCAACTGGGGGGAGGGATAAGGAAGAAATGAGGGAGTGGGTGGGAGGGTAAAAAAGGGGGATGAACACAGGCGGGGTGCTGAAATTCGGGCAGCATGGGTGTGTGTGTGGGAAGTGGAAAAGGGTAGGCTAAGGAGAGCAGCTGAGGTGGGAGGAAGGCAGGATATAGGGGTTAGGAGGGGACTAAAGAACCAGAAAGTGTCAAGGATGAGATTGTAGGAATATCAGACACACATATATTCTTCCATAATGGTGAAGTCTAGTAAATAAAACCAAGTGATGCAAATATGTTTCATCTGTACCTTGTTAAGTGAAATTCCAGGCTAGATCTAACCAAGCTTAAAATGGCTCCCACCTCCTTCCTAAACTAACTACCCTGTAGAAGGAAGATGATTATACTTACCTGTTCTCAGGGTGGTCTGGTCTTGTCATGTGATTGGCCCCCCAGCAGCCGGTTTCAGGGGAGAGGAGGCACAGCTGACAATGAATGCCCCATAGTAAGCCTATGGGTGATGTCACCCAGCCATTGTTGGAGATTTCTCCTCTCCCCTGAAGCCGGCTGCTGGGGAGATCACATGGCGGGGCCAAATTGCCCTAAGAATAGATGAGAATTTGCATCTTCTTTTTACAAGGTAGTTAGTATGGAAATCAGAAGGGGGTGGGAGAAGTTTTATGCTTAGTTAGACCTAGCCTGGAACAACACCTTAAAGGATAAGTTCACCTTTCATAACATGTTACACCCATATTCAGGGTGTAACATGTAATGAAAGGACCGGCCCCCTGTTCCTCCCCACTGCCCCGCTTTGACAGCTAGCAGGGGATCGTCTCCTCCTGCTAGCTGTCAAAATTTAAAAAAAACATAGCCGTGCGGGGCTCTGCCTGCCTGGACGCATTACTCATTCACAGTCCTCTATGAATGAGAAAACTGTAAGTCCTGGTAGCCTTAATGCCTGTCAGCTTGTAGTTCTCAATGAACTACCATGGCGTTGTGAGCATTGTGGTAGTTCATTGATTCTTCCTGTCAGAGTGTATCGGCTGTCAGAGTGTAACATGTAATACATCGCAAAATGATTGCCCCCTGCTCCACCCTGATCTCCCATTTTGACAGCTAGCGGAGTTCTCCCCCTGTTAGCTGTCAAAAAAAAAAAAAACACAGCTATGTGGGGCTCCGTTTCTGTCACATGTCCACAGTGTTCTGTAACTGAGAAACTACAAGTCCCGACAGCCGCTAAGTGGTTCATTGATTCTTCCTGTCAGTTCATTGATTCTTCCTGTGAGCGCCCAGGTGGTTCATTGATTCTTCCTGTCAGTTCATTGATTCTTCCTGTGAGCGCCCTGGTGGTTCATTGATTCTTCCTGTCAGTAAGTATCGGCTTGCCCATATGGGGTACGAGCACACAGACACACTGACAGCTCTGCCAGAGACCTGCATGGCATTATTGATCTTCTGATCGCTGGTGCAATGTTTTACAAGCTCCCAAAACAGAAAATAATAAATGCACATTTTTTACCTGCAAAAAAATATGCATTTACTATTTTTTGTTGAAAGGTGAACTTATCCTTTAAAGGAACTTGTTTTAATATTCTTTAGTCTGTTAAACCAACATTGTATATGAGTTAGATATGGTCGCTTCCAAATTGTGGGGATGCATTGATCAGGTGAATTATGATGGACTGCTTGTATGGTTTTGAAGGAACTGTATAGTAATATAGAAGAAAGGCTAGGGTTTTAAGGATCTGGAGGTTGGTGAACGTTTGGGTAATGTTATGGATCTGGTCCCAAACTTGGCCTAAGTGGGACATGACCAAAAGATGCATTGTAAGTGAACAATAATTGTTAATATAGAACAGTAAAAAGCATAAACCACATATTAAGAATGAAAAATCCCTTGAAGTTGTTATCTAAAGGAGCCAAATACACAAACTTATGAATGTTTTAAAAGCACAGTTATAGATCTATATATTAATTTTCTGCATAAGTTAACCCCTACTCCTTCAACAGTTTGCACTATTACCAGTTAGTTGATGTTTCACTCTTTGAAATCTTGAAGTTCAAGTCTGCCATCCCTCCCACTGGCACTCTGTCACTCCCCGTTGTGAAGTGAAGCAGTTTCTTTTGAAGGTCAAGAGGAAATCCCAAAACGACATCCCAAAAATGTCTGCAAGAGAACAATCCATTAGGGCCAAAACATTTCTATAGATGTACTATATATTTTTTGTCTCTCATTCAATGACTCAGTCTAATAAGATAAATAGCTACCAGTGCAAAGCTCAACTCCAGGAAAAGTACAAATCTTCCTTGTAGTAGAGCTGTGCTTACGCTGCAAGGGTTGACTTCTTGTTTATGTGTCTAGGCTCCGTAGAAGAACTTTTATTTACTTGATCCTCCACCCCCCCAACCCACAACAAATGATGTTCCCCTACAGTCAGACAGTGGACTGTCCCTCAGCACCCCCATGTCCAAATGCAGAGCTATGGTCTCTGCTCTGGTTTTGATGACATTAGGTGCATTCGATTGCCAGAGTTCAGGGGAAAAGAGGCTGCAGGGACTGGTGTTGCAGCACAAAGAAACCTATGGAACAGAGGATTATTTAAAGTGGAACTTTAACTAAATAAATAAAAATTGTCAGACAGGCAGAAATTTTAATGCAGAAGAGGCATGCTTTGTCTTTTCTGCATTAAAGTTGCTTACCTGCCTGTCCATCCCTGTACAGTAAGTTTCGCATGCGTGGGAGTGACATCATCCCCGCCTGGCCAATGACAGTGCCCAGCAATCGAGACCTGGAAGCTGGCCCCTCAAAGATGTAGCAGGGGGACACTGCATCGCTGGAACTGAGGTAAATTTAGTTTGCCTGTAAGTAAAACTGCTTTCCCCGATCCCCGATCTCCCAAGATATAAACAAGTTATTAAACTTTACAGCGTGGGCAGAGCCTGGCTGCAAGCAGGACCTTTACTTTCCTGAAACTCAGCTTTAAGATATGAAAATTATTTATTTATAAATAAAGCCTACACATATAGAACAGCACAGAACATATCTATACATTGCCTTGAAAAAATATTCATACCCCTTGAAATTTTCCACATTTTGTCATGTTACAACCAAAAAAAAATGTATTTTATTGAAATTTTATGTGATAGAAAAAAAACACAAAGTGGCACATAATTGTAAAGTGGAAGGAAAATGATAAATGGTTTTCAACAATTTTTTACCAATAAATATCTGAAAAGTGTGGCGTACATTTGTATTCAGGCCCAAGGCAATATGTTGTAGAACCACCTTTTGCTGCAATTACAGCTGCAAGTCTTTTGGGGATGTCTGTACCTGCTTTGCACATCTAGACAGTGAAATGTTTGCCCATTCTTCTTTGCAAAATAGCTCAAGCTCGGTCAGATTGGATGGAGAGCATCTGTGAACAGCAATTTTCAAGTCTTGCCACAGATTCTCAATTGGATTTAGGTCTGGTCTTTGACTGGGCCATGACATATGAATATGCTTTGATCTAAACCATTCCATTGTAGCTCTGGCTGTATATTTAGGGTCGTTGTCCTGCTGGAAGGTGAACCTCCACCCCAGTCTCAAGTCTTTTGAAGACTCTAACAGGTTTTCTTCTAAGATTACCCTGTATTTGGCTCCATCCATCTTTCCATCAACTATGACCAGCTTCCCTGTCCCTGCTGAAGGGAAGCATCCCCACAACATGGTCCTACCACCACCAAGTTTCACGGTGGGGATGGTGTGTTCAGGGTGATGTGCAGTGTTAGTTTTCTGTCACACAAAGAGTTTTGCTTTTAGGCCAAAAAGTTCCAATTTTGGTCTCATCTGACCAGAGCACCTTCTTCCACGTTTGCTGTGTCCCCTGCATGGCTTCTCGCAAACTGCAAATGGGACTTCTTATGGCTTTCTTTCAACAATGGCTTTCTTCTTGCCACTCTTCCATAAAGACCAGATTTGTGGAGTGCACGACTAATAGTTTTCCTGTGGACAGATTCTCCCACCTGAGCTGTGGATCTCTGCAGCTCCTCCAGAGTTACCATGGGCCTCTTGGCTGCTTCTATGATTAATGTTTTTGTCCGGCCTGTCAGTTTAGGTTGACGGCCATATCTTGGTAGGTTTGCAGTTGTGCCATACTCATTCCATTTTAGGATGATGGCTTGAACAGTGCTCCGTGCAATGTTCAAAGCTTGGGATATTTTTTTTATAACCTAACCCTGCTTTAAACTTCTCCAACACTTTATCCCTGACCTGTCTGGTGTGTTCCTTGGCCTTCAGGATGCTGTTTGTTCACTAATGTTCTCTAACAAACCTATGAGGGATTCACAGAACAGCTGTATTTATACTGAGATTAAATTACACACAAGTGGATTATTATTAATTAGGTGATTTTTGAAGGCAATTGGTTCCACTAAATTTTAGTTAGGGGTATCAGTGTAAAGGGGGCTGAATATAAGTGCATGCCACACATTACAGATAGTTATTTGTAAATCATTTTGAAAACTAGCTATCATTTTCCTTCCACTTCACAATTATATGCCACTTTGTGCTGGTCTATCACATAAAATTTCAATAAAATACATTTTTTTTTGGTTGTAACATGACAAAATCTGGAAAATTTCAAGGGATATGAATACTTTTTCAAGGCACTGTAGATGTAACCAGAAGCTATCTGTAGTATCACAAGTCCAGAAATAATTCAGCTTTGGGCTTAGCGCTGGTGTTTCTGGGAACGGTTTAGACCAGGCACCTTTTTAAATAACAATTTTATTTACATATGAATACAAAAACAATACTCAAAGGAGTTTAAGGCCTCGTCCACACCATATGTGCAGAAAAACTGATGGGAAAAACAGGCAGATTTGACTTGCATATAATATTTTAAGCTTGTTCACACCATGTGCAGAGACATGAGTCTTTTTAACATAGGTCTCTGCAAGGACACAAACAAAACAACTGTTTTTACTATGTGCCCTGTTCACACCATGATGTTATTACCCTGATTATCAGTGCCCATCATCGCAGGGTATCAGTGCCCATCAGTGCAGCATATCAGTGCCCATCACTGCATTCTCACCAGTGCAGCCTCATCAGTGCCCATCAGTGCAGCCTCATCAGTGAAGAAGAAAAATAATTTATTTGCAAAATTTTATAACAGAAACTAAGATAATATTATAAATGCCAGCACTATCCTTCTTTGCTTATAACACCCCACCAAGTCACTTTACCAGTCCTTCCCCTGAAGTACATACATAAATAAATCAATCTTAAAGCAAACTTGATTACAATAAACCTAAATCTAGTGTTTAAAGTCCCAAAATAAAGTCCACAGCAAAGTCCAAAATAAAAGTCCCAAAAAATTGTGTTAGTCTTTATCGGTGATTCCTCATCTTCGTGTTTCCAACCAGTATTATTATTATAATCCAAGAAAAATCTTCATATACCTCAAAGAAAAAAACTAAACATAGTGTATTATCCCAAATATTATCATAAAAAGTGCCACACGTGTTACATGCAAACAAAGACTACCGTGCCACAGCAACCGTGAAAAAGATGAAATTCCTATGCCTTAAAAATCAATCCACTGCACACAAATATCAGGAGAGCATAATTACCCTCACAATGATATCATATGGACCATCATATAGATGAGATTATTTCCAACCTTTTGTTTTTCCAGCCTTTCATATAATGAGATTATTTCCAAGCCTTTCTTTAGCCTTTCATATAGATGAGATTATTTCCAACCTTTTGTTTCAGCCTTTCCAGCCACTTCCCACAGACCTCATAAACAGACCAGGGATCAGTGTATATCAAAAATAATAACACTTTATTATAGCAATTTACATTAAAATATGATAAGATCAGCTTCCATACAGAGAAAATGATTCCAAAATTGAGCCCCTCCTCAGTAGTATTTGGGTATCCTCACCATACCACTCCGGAGGAGGAATAAGTCATATGTGGTAAATTCCCCAGATAAGCTTAACCATATGTGGAGGATTCCAGGACAAACACAAACACAACCGCGTGTTCCAGGATTAAAGATGGCCGCTACGGCACTTCCGGAAGAGCGTCACTACGTCACGTGCCCCGGACGCGTTTCGTCACATCCGGACTTTGTCAACAGGGATCCCTGTTGACAAAGTCCGGATGTGATGAAACGCGTCCGGGGCACGTGACGTGGTGACGTAGTGACGCTCTTCCGGAAGTGCCGTAGCGGCCATCTTTAATCCTGGAACACGCGGTTGTGTTTGTGTTTGTCCTGGAATTCTCCAGATATGGTTAAGCTTATCTGGGGAATCTACCACATATGACTTATTCCTCCCCCGGAGTGGTATGGTGAGGATACTCAAATACTACTGAGGAGGGGCACAATTTTGGAATAATTTTCTCTGTATGGAAGCTGATCTTATCATATTTTAATGTAAGTTGCTATAATAAAGTGTTATTATTTTTTGATATACACTGATCCCTGGTCTGTTTATGAGGTCTGTGGGAAGTGGCTGGAAAGGCTGAAACAAAAGGTTGGAAATAATCTCATCTATATGAAAGGCTGGAAAGGCTGAAACAAAAGGTTGGAAATAATCTCATCTATATGATGGTCCATATGATATCATTGTGAGGGTAATTATGCTCTCCTGATATTTATGTGCAGTGGATTGATTTTTAAGGCATAGGAATTTCTTCTTTTTCACGGTTGCTGTGGCACGGTAGTCTTTGTTTGCATGTAACACGTGTGGCACTTTTTATGATAATATTTGGGATAATACACTATGTTTAGTTTTTTTCTTTGAGGTATATGAAGATTTTTCTTGGATTATAATAATAATACTGGTTGGAAACACGAAGATGAGGAATCACCGACAAAGACTAACACAATTTTTTGGGACTTTTATTTTGGACTTTGGAGTGGACTTTATTTTGGGACTTTAAACACTAGATTTAGGTTTATTGTAATCAAGTTTGCTTTAAGATTGATTTAGAAACTAAGATAAACAGTTTTTATTTTTCAAATTTTTCTGTCTTTTTTAGTTTGTTTAGCAAAAAATAAAAACCCCAGTGGTGATTAAATACCACCAAAAGAAAGCTCGATCCATCTAAAAAAAAAATTATACAAATTTAACATGGGTACAATGTTGCAATACTGCCCAAATGTCATTCAAAGTAAGACGGCGCCAAAAGCTGAAAATTGGCCTGAACAGGAAGGGGACGAAAGTGAAAGTAAAAAAGAAAGTGAGGTGCAAAGTAAAAAAGAAAAACAGCTGACCTGATTGTAAGATCTGTTTTCTGGTATCCGTCATATTGAGTATTTTTCTGGAGTGCATGCAAATCTAGTTCAGGACTTCCACAAACAAGAATCTCCACTTCTTCTGGACGCAGTAACTAGAGGGAATAGTGTACAGGTAAACATCAATTCCCTGCCAATCAACAGGAAATCGCAAACATCCCTTGGCTATTTTTTTAAGATTAAATTGCAACAATGAAAATAAAGCTCAACAGGAAACTCTATAAACAAATGCAATAACAGTTAGGGCTCGTTGCTGGGGCAATACTTGGACTGTTTGCGGAGCGTTTTTTTAAACGATTAAATTGCAACCCCAATGAAAATCCCAAAAAACCGCGTCGCAACCGCACCGCAAACGCCGGTCAACAATTTCTGATAGAATAGGAGGCTTCAAACTCCTGACAAATCCGTTTTGCAATAATTCATTTGAACAGCACCATGTGCTGTAAGTGCAACCAACTAAGGTAAAAAGAAGCCTCTCTGCCGCCTGAAGGCTAGTGTGAACTATAGCCTTAACCAACTAAGGAGAAGAGGGACTATAAGTGGGAGGGAAGGGGGAAGAAGGGGTTAGGCCCCTAAACGCTGTCCTGGAAAATTAACTGTTAGTATAAAATTAAAAAAAAAATATATATCACAAACAGTACTCAAAAGTGTTGCTCTAAGTGTACAAATACAGCTATAGTCGCCTATACACCCCAGTCGCACTGGGTGTGACTTGGCATGCGATTTGCAAATCATATGCCAAGTCGCACCCTATTGTCCATTATTACAGTGGTTGGAGCTGCACCGATCTCTAAAGTAGTATATGCACTACTTTTTGTGTAATTTGCATAGATATCTGTGTTAGATGTCTTGCAAATCACACCTAAAATCGGCATGTCCCCCAATTTGAAATTGTGCGACTTCGCTGTAAGTTGCACAATTTCAAAGTCGGGCTTGATGTGACCGGGGGATAAAGCTGAACTCCGGAATAAGGAAATATTGTCTAAATAAAAGAGGCATGTGTACTCTTACTTGAATCTTGGGGTGCTTTGTGTATTTCTTCCAGATCTGTGAGTAATCCACTGTGAGCCTTGTCCTGTAATAAAGACTGTTCACTGCTACTCTCCCTCTTTTCTGCAATGTGACTGGTCTTATCTCCACCCCCTCCAGTAGTTTTCATCAGGCAGCCTGTAGTGGGTGGAACCTGCTGGCCCCTCCCACAGCTCTATTCTTTGCACACACAGCACAGTGGTGTCATTGGTACATTTATAAGGTAATAACTGGATTTACAAAGTCATTTAGTGTACACATAGTGTTTTCATATTCTTTGTAGCCATTGAGCAATATATACCAATTAACATTTTTGTTCCTAGAGTTTAGCTTTACGTTATTCTTGATTGGTTGTTTCTTATCTGTAATAGCTCAGAGCAATCAGCTCAAATTCACTCTCAGAACTCAGACCAGTACAATATTCTGACTCTGCAATGGTTTACTTTGATTCAGATTTAAAGCTTTAGAATAAGGACTGTTTATTGAATGAAGCCATTGAAGTTTTAAAGCTGAACTCCAGGAATTCAGCTACTTTGTACAATGTGCTGGATTACTAGGGGTGCACCTTGTAGACTTGTATCTTTAATTTACAATTTGTATATTTACTGAGCACCATTCTGGTGCTGGACACTCTGGAGCTGCATACAGCAACAGTGCCCACCTCTCCCCTTCTTCTGTCCAAACACAGAGTGCTTTGTTTTATGTGAACTCATTCACAAAATACAAAGGCTTCTGTGAATGGACAGCAGAGGGGAGGGGCAGGCAGAGCTGCTGGTATATGAGACAGCACCTCTCCTGTCAGAGCTTTGGGACTCTAGTGATAGGAGCTCCATAAACCTGTCAAATGTAAATAATAGATAAGTCCATCTAATCCTCACTGGACTTAACGTATAGTATGCAAGCAGATTTTACAAAGTGGTTGATTGCCTGCAGTTCAGTTATACAGGTTAAGTTCACCTTTCATAACATGTTACACCCATATTCAGGGTGTAACATGTAATGAAAGGACCGGGCCCCCCTGCTCCTCCCTGTTGCCTCACTTTGACAGCGGGGGATCTTCTCCCCCTGCTAGCTGTCAAAATTTAAAAAAAACGTGGCCGTGCGGGGCTCTGCCCGCCTGGACGCATTACTCATTCACAGTCCTCTATGAATGAGAAAACTGTAAGTCCTGGTAGCCTTAGTGCCTGTCAGCTTGTAGTTCTCAATGAACTATCATGGCGCTGGGAGCATTGTGGTATTTCATTGATTCTTCCTGTCAGAGTGTATTGGCTTGCTGATAGCCTTAGTGCAGGTCAGCTTGTAGTTCTCAATGAACTATCATGGTGCTGGGAGCATTGTGGTATTTCATTGATTCTTCCTGTCAGAGTGTATTGGCTTGCTGATAGCCTTAGTGCAGGTCAGCTTGTAGTTCTCAATGAACTGCATGGCGCTGGGAGCATTGTGGTATTTCATTGATTCTTCCTGTCAGAGTGTATTGGCTTGCTCGTACGGGGTGTCCTGCATGGTACCAGTGATTTGCTGATCACTGGTTATAGTGCTTTACAAGCTCCCACAACAAAAAATAATGAAAATGTGTATTTATTATTTTTTTGTCAAAAGGTGGACTTATCCTTCATGTACCAAGACAAAAGTTCTGGTACAACTGGGAGGAAAGGAGTTTGCAGAAATGTAGCAAATTGGTCTGAATTCAAACCCAAATAAACCAGATTGTGAAATAAATATTTTATTATAACTAATGCTTTATCCATCTTGCCATGTTTTCTACTGTAAGTATTAAACTGATAATACTAACTACTGTAACATTTCCTAAACATATTACTTATATGATCACTCTTACCATCAATGCATTAGAGGAACATACACTGTGGAAACCATAATAAAAGGCAGAGAATTGCTTGTAGATGGATTTATTAAGCAGAAAGTCTACATACAGCTGGACATATTCTGGAAAGATAAAACAAAACCTATTGTAAACATTACAATTCCACTACAATAGTTTCCATGCACACTAGCATTTTTTTCACACTAATAAAATGCTGGGAAAACAGCTGGATGGAAAACGGTGGAAAAAAAATGCTGGTAATAGCATTTTATAGTAGCGTTTTGTGTAGTGTGTTTAGAAGTATTTAGGAATGTTAGCATTTTTATTAGCATTTTTACAATATATGTAGATGGAAGAAAAAAAAATCTAGAAAAAAAAGCTGTTAGGAGCATTTTAGTAGCGTTTAGCGTTTTTTTTCTGCAGGAAGAAGCTCGAAAAAAAATGTACAAAACATTTTTTTTTTCCTGCTCCTAGATGCTGAAGTTTAAAATATGCTAACAGCCTAAAGTATTGTGCCTGGAAACATAGGATAACACTAGTTAGCTTCTAGGAGCAGAAAAAAATATGCTGATAATAGAGTCTAGGAGCTTAAAAAAACACTAGTGTGCATGGAGCGGTACTGTAAAAACGCTGACAAAACGCGAACGCTCCTAAATGCTACTAAAAACGGTATTACCAGCGTTTTTTATCCAGCATTTTTCCAGCATTTTTGAGCTAAAATAAAAACCGCGAGTGTGCATGGAGCCTAAAGCACAAACTGACATATTGTTAATACATATTTTTACCTTTTCTGTTCTGATTGGTAACAGGAATTTTGTCTCCACCAGGTTTAAGACTGTATGATTTAATGACTCCAAACTCTTCTTGAAAGACCTGGAAAAAAAAAATAATTTGAAAATAATTTAATGTTGTAATTCTATTAAATAATATGACGGCATCTAGATAAGCTTCTGAGAACAGAATTCTGAGTTGATACCCAAGTGATGAGGGACTATTCATTATGAATATCATTTTTTTATATAAAACATACTCTTGCATTAAACTCCAAAATTTGAATATTATAAATCTCAGGATGCAAAGCAAAACATATGTAACAGCAAGATATAACAGCAGAAAGAGAGAGAGCACCGCAGATTATACATTCAGAGCTGGGTAGCTTTGATTTTCCTCAACTTGCTAAGCCAGTGTTTCTCAACCAGGGTTCCATGGAACCGTAGGGTTCCTCCAGGGGTTGCTAGGTGTTCCTTGAGTAATAAACTATTTCTGCCTCTCAGATAAGTTCCCACTGACACCATTGATCTTTTTAGCTATCTGTAAAGGAGTCATTCTTCTCAATGACCTCAAGTGTAAGGAGCATTGTTCCCCACTGACCACCACACTAAAGTATCATGAGTTGCGGATAAAGTAATTATTATCAGGGGTTCCCTGAGACCGAAAAGTTATTTTAAGGGTTCTCTGGGTTCTGGGTTGAAAAGGTTGAGAAAGGCTGCTCTAAGCATTGATATTTGATAAAGCCTGGTTATTTATTGGCTGCATAACTGAAGCATAGTAGTTCAATCAATCAGTTTATCGCAAGACTATTTAACCAATTCAATACCGGGCAATTTTACACCTTCCCTCCCAGGCCATATTTCAGGTTTCAGCGCTCTCACACTTTGAATGACAATTGCGCAGTCATACAACATTGTACCCAAACTAAAATGTTATTTTCTTCACACAACTAGAGCTTTCTTTTGGTGGTATTTAATCATCGCTGGGGTTTTAATTTTTTGCTAAATTAACAAAAAAGACCGAAAATTTTGAAAAAAAAAAAAAACACACGTTTTTCTTTGTTTCTGTTATAAAAGTTTGCAAATAAATAATTGTTCTTCATAAATTTAGGCCGAGATGTATTCTACTACATGTCTTTGGTGAAAATAACCCAAATTAGGATGTATTTTTTAGTTTGTAGGAAAGTTAAAGAGTTCACAAACTATGGTATAGATCTGAAAATTGATCAATCCTGAAGTACTGACAGCCAATCTAATTTCTTGAGGTCCAAGAATGTCAGAACAGTACAGATATCCCCCAAATGACCCCTTTTTGCAAAGTAGACAGTCCGACGTATTTCATAAGAGGCATGGCGAGTTTTTTGAAGTTGTATTTTATTTGTCATAATTTTTCGGAAAATGAAAAAATTAAAAAAATTATTTTCACTATTTGTTTTTTACATACTCTCACCAGTTCAGTACAGCGTCATCATATAACTGGCATGGCCGTTATCAGGGACACTGACTGGTGACAGTGTGAAAAAAAAAAAAATATTTTTTTTTTTTATTTTTGTTTTTATTTTAAATTTTTTATTAAATTATTTTTCTTTTTTTTAAGATTTTGTTTTCATATTTAACTATGTCCAAAGTAGTACAATGTTACCATAGTAACATTGTACTACTTTGGGGAAGTGATCAGTATTTTTTTTTTTTTTTTTTTTTTTACACAATTTGCTTATAGCAAAGAATTACTTTGCTATAAGCAAGCATTTACCTGAATGACATCGATTCATTCAGGGTTTTGTTTTTCGCTTAGCTGTGATTAGGCCACAGCTAATCACATGACATGTGCATGTGATTAGCTGTGACCATTCACAGCAAGACACTAGTAAACAATGGATGGCATGAATGAAGCCATCCATTGTATACAACTGTCATGTGACCTGCTGTGATTGGTCACAGCAGGTCACATGGTATCGGCAACGGGGGCCGGTACTCAGATCTGTCATCGGCCGTGTCCGAGGTACACGGACAGTGACAGATCGCGCCGCTGCACGGCTCTGCAAGCGCGCGAACTGCGCATGTGCGGGAGGACGCCATATGGTGGCCTCCTGGAAAGGTAATGCATTTTTGCGGACGCCATTTGGCCATAGGCCGGGCGTCAAATGGTTAAATACAGAGATTATCCTAAAAAAATCTTTAAAAACAGACCTGGAATGTTGAATAGAAATCCTCTTCCACATTGCCCTCATATGTTAGAAGTTCATTCAGTCCATGAGCCAGTTCCTGAAAACAAAAGAACCTTATTTGTACAGAAACATGTTTAACTTACAGACTTAGCCTGAAGCCTTACTTCCCGGGGTTATGTTAACACTTGAGTAGTAGTTTGTCTATACCCCATCAATAGCAGGCCATTTTACAGTGCTGTGATAGTCTGACTGACAATTACTCAGCCATAAGGCACAGTACCCATATTCATTCATTTAGACAAATAGAGCTTTCTTTTGGTGGTATTTAATAATGACTAGTTTGTTTTTTTAACCATATAAAAAAACAGGCCAAAACAAGTCTTACTTTCTGTTTATAAATCAGATATTATAACAAACAAAATGTAACATCCCCCCCAAAAAACAAATGAGCAAGTAGACACCCCAAGGGGATCTCATTTGTTGCCACATTTTCTGTTATAAATGAAGAAACATGCTAATATTATGTAGATAAAAATTTGGAGCTTGGTAATAGTGAACTAAATACAATGCATAATTAATATTCATGGGGAGGAGGGTAAGGAGAAGGAGGTGAAGGGGTTAATGTCCAGGTCAAATACAGGTAGAGGATGGTGAGCAGGGGTTTAATGTTCAGGATAAGAGAGGTGAAGGAGTTAATATACATCTCACACAGAGACTAATAAAGAGAAGATGTACTGAAATGGAGGGTGAAAGGGTTAAAAAAAAAAGAAGATAATTCATTCCTCACCATTCCTAACTACTACTACTATAATAGGAAGGGGAGGCTTTCAACTGTAAACACTAAAGCATCTACAGTTGTGATTGCTGTGCTTGGACACCATAGAGATCACAAGGTACAGTGACACTCTGATCGGCTCTATACACTGTGATCTGAGCCACCAGGATCTTGGCTGCAGTATATTTTTCTCTTAGATTGGCACAGCATTAAACCAAAAAAAAAAACCACAAAGGGATTCATTAAAAAGTACAACTTAGTAATTGTAGTACTATGTGTTACATGCTAATTATCAAGGCTGAACCTTGTTACACTCACTAAAGCATCTATCGCATGGTCCATTTGAATTTACCATGTTTGTTTAACAATGTTTGCAGCAATTTTAATGAATTGCATTTTACATGAAAAATACTGCAAAGACTTTCACTTCTTAAGGGTGGATTGATACTGTTTGTGTTCACTGTGGCTCATTTGACAACACATTCTTTTTTTGTAGCGATGAATCTGTGTAGTTCCCTTTTCTAAATATTGTAAACTGCAGCACACAGATGGGAACCAGCAGCACTGGAAACAATAAGATTTCTACTTGTAATGCATTATAAAGCAGCAAAAATTATGTGTTCTGCTGTATGACAATGAAGGTGTTGAAGAGGCTCTAAAGCCCAACTCCAGGCAATATTTTGAGAAGGGTTAGAATCTCTGTCAGGTTTTTACTGCTGTCTGTGTCCCTGCTGGGGAGATGATTCTAAATATCTATTTAATAGTTATCAGATAGAAAAACTAGTATGGAGCCTCCCAAGAATGACAAATAATTTTTTTTCTAAAGAATAAGCAAGGGCTATATTCTCAGACCTTTTGTTTTATATACATTAATTATATCTGTGTTTGTCTCCATTAGGCAGATTTCCCCTCACTGTACAATTGATAACAGACTAGGAACTGCAATCTCAACATGGATATGAGACCACAACTGAAACTGGACAGAAGTTCTAACTCTAAAACTAAAAAAAACTAAATCTGGGCTACAGTTAAAGTAGTATTAGGTTCTTAACCTTTTTTTAGAATAATGTACCCAGTTTACACAAATATCCACTCACCAGCCACTTTATTAGGTACACCTTTTCAATTGCTTGGTAACACAAATTGCTAACCAGCCAATCAAATGGCAGCAACTAAATGCACTTAGGCATGTAGACGAGGTGAAGACACATTCCTGAAGTTCAAACTGAGCATCAGAATGGGGAGGAAAGGGGATTGAAATGATTTTGAATGTGGCATGGTTGTTGGTGCCAGACAGGCTGGTCTGAGTATTTCAAAAACTGCTGATCTACTGGGATTTTCACGCACAGTCATCTCGAGGGTTTACAGAGAATGGTCCGAAAAAGAGAAAATATCCAGTGAGCAGCAGTGGTGTGGACGAAAATGCCTTGTTAAAGTCAGAGAAGAATGGGCAGACTGGTTGCTGCAACATTCAGATGGTTGGGTTAGAATTTGGTGTAAACAACATGGTGGTGGTGTAATGAAGTGAGGGATATTTTCTTGGCACTAGTAAGGTGTACCTATTAACCTCCCTGGCGGTATGATTATTTCAGATTTTTGGTGCTGAAAGCGGTACCATTTTTTTGCATGGAAATATGTAGTTTTTTTATTGTAGGCTGTAATTTTTAGGAAAAACTCACTGAAATCTGTCCGAACAAGAGTCTAGTAAACATCCCGGGTATGATAAAATTTGAAACACGAAATCATAAATTATAATTTAATAAATAATCATAAAAATAATATAAAAATAAAAAATTTAATTCAATAATATAATCAAACCAAAAACACTGAAATGTGAAATAGAGCGCCAAGTTCGCACATTGCTGAGCTCAGTCGCAAAATCGTTTTCAGTGTCTGATGACGAATTTCCCCCACGAAACATTATCACTCAATTCTGCAAGTGGTTCTGATTTACTATCGCTGTTCTCTAGCTGATCTAAACCGCTTTTGACCTAAAGGGACACTTTTTGGACGCCATGGACGTTTCTCAGTTTCCAGGCAGAAAGAACAGACAAAATGCAGGCAGGGCGCAGGACAAAGCACTCGGGACAAAATGTATGTGAAATTGGTTGAGACAGCAATGTTTTACTAAAAAAAAAAAATGACATTTTTTAAAATTTTTACATTTCCCGCCGCCGGCGGCGGCGCCCGTGCGTCCCGACGTCACAGGGACAGGACACAGAAGCCGGATGCCGGCATCGGCCGGAGGAGATGGCCGGGGACGCTGCAGGGGACACATCGTGGGAGCGCAGGGTAAGGTAAGTGAAGAACACATGCCGGAGCAGTGCCGCAGGGTAAGCCCGAGTGTAGCTCGGGGTTACCGCTTTTGGTACTGAAATGTTACCCCGAGCTACACTCGGGAATACCGCCAAGGAGGTTAAAGTAGGAGGTGAGAATTTCTTTAGTTTTTGTGCCCAAGCACAACCATGATGTTTCCAAACTGCTGGCTCCAGCTCAGTCATTGCTGCTTCCCTGAGCTTCCTGTTGGGTAGTGCACATACGAAGTACAAAAGGTCAGAAGGAACAGTGAAGTCTCCAGCATCTGTCCATTTACTAGCTTGGGGAAGGATGAAGCAAGGAAGTGATCTACCATCCTTTGCTTCATGCCTGTGTGTTTTTTGACCACCTTCTTCAAAATACTTCCAGCCTCTGATTTGCATTAAAGTGTTACTAAACCCAGGATCCTGCATTCACTATATCTGGTCTCCCACAGTACACAGAGCATGGAAATGCAATTATTTTAGTAAATATAAAGTGCTAAATACCTTTTCTTATCAGCAGTATACAGCAGTCTTGTGACTTCTATCAGTGTCTGGTTGAGCACTGGTTAATCTTGTAGGAAGAGTTTTATTCTCCTCTTATTGTCCTATAATGCTGTGTGACTCCTGACCCTCTGTCCGGACATTGCTGATTGGTCTTGTGCTGATCACATGCACTGTCCCCCCCTAAAAAAAACTCTAGCAATCCACACCAAACAGCATGTGCAGACTTGCCACTGCTGCTCAGATGGACTGGGGACAGTAAAAGAAGGGGAGGATCAGAGATGACAGGATCAAAGTCTTTGTACACAATGCAGAGGATAAAGCCATTAGGTTCCCTTGAGCATAGCCAGCATGCTTTCCTGCATATACAGACTGATTTTACAGTTGTGGGTTTAGTAACACTTTGAATGTGAAGTTTAATTAGATGTTAATTGAGGAAAAATGAGTGACTGCAGGTGAAAATAAATGATTGACTGTAAAAATATGTATTTTCCGTAGGTATTCCACACCTTTGTGATATCCATATACATGAACTATGCATTTTTATGAGAAAATTGTCATGATATAACAACAAACGGTTAAAATGACTACTGTGGCTTAGTGAAATGACCCAATATGGCCTGAATCTAGACTTCTCCACACAGGCACCCAATGATAGCTCAACATGGACTGCTCTGTGATTATATCTTGTATTTGATCCATCATCAGACCCACACAGCCTAATTAATTAGCCCCGCACTATTTCTTCTACGAATAAACTTACCGGCATTATTTGATAGAGATCCTCCAGAGTGACAGTTGCGATGCCTACTGGTATGTTCTGATCACAGGGTACTACAGGAGGACTCAGCAGCTTCTTGTAACAGCAGGGTGGAAATCGAATATCTAGGGTTATGCTGTTGTACACAGCCAGTCCCATCAACTTGCAAGGTTAAGTAAAATTTCAATCATTTATCGGAAGCTGCTTTGTGCCTAATTTAACGTCGCACATTAAACCTAAATATATAAACACTGGTGTTACTACAAAGAGATACATCTGCCATGAAATGGATATCAACATGCTAAAAATCTGTCTAAAAAAAAAAAATTATTTATCTGCTGAAATAACAATCTAAAATACTGTAACTGTGATTGGCTAGAGAGGAATCGAGGGGTGACATGTCAGAGCTCGACTCTGCGGAGTTTGTTACAGAAAAGAGAGAATCTGGATGAAGGTGCCCAAACACTGGCCGATTATGACCAAGCAGCTCCCTGTATGAATCACCCAAGCCCCAGAAGGCTTGTAAATAGCCAGTCAGGTACTTGGAGGAACTTCATACTTATAATGAAAATCACAATAAAGGCAGCTTTTAAAAAAAATAAGGTGTGCAAAGAATAAAGCCTAGTACACACGATAAGAAAATCAAAAAAATACCGCTTTCAAAGCAATCGTACAATAATCTGATCGTTAGTACACAGCTTTCACCCGAAATTATTTGAAGGGACAAGTACAGATAGTACGATTTTTATTTAATCAGTACAGTTTTCCTCCTAAAATACAACACAAATACAATACATTACATCACTTCCGAAATTCTATTCTGTTGTACAAGAATTTTCAAAACTTTCGAAACTATTATGCAAAAAAAAAAAAACAACAAAAAAAACAGATGATCATTCAGCCCATGTTCTCATTGTGTGTACAGGGGTTAAAAAGCCAGCAATTATCTATAAGTAATATTTTATGATGCCTAGTACACATGATAAGAAAATTGGATGGAGAACAAAAAACGCTTTTGGAGCAATCGTCTGATAATCTGATCGTTAGTACCTAGCTGCCGGTCATGACAGTTGATGCGAAAATATCCAAAAGGGACAAACACAAAAGTGTTCCTGTAAGATAACAAAACAAATGATTTTTGTATAATTAGTATAGTATTTGTACGAAAAAAAAATCGAGTGTCCAAGACTGTGCATGGGAAAACAAAAGAATACATTACAATACAAAAAATTACATCAGTTCCTAAGCTGTATTCTGTCTTACATTACAATACAAAAAATACATTACATCAGTTCTGAAGTTGTATTCTGTTGTACAAGAATTTTTGTAACTCTAGTAATCTGTTTGTTTTCTAGATATGAGACTAGCATGCAAAAAAAAAAAAAAAAAAAGGACAATCATTCATCCAATATTCTTACCGTGTGCACTAGGCATTAGAAATGTTTAGTAATGGCAATCTACAAAGAAATACTTATAGATAATTGCCAGCATTTTTATTTTGCACACCTTATTTTTCTCCTCTTCGCCATTTTCATGGTGGTCATTTTTACTAAGGGTAGATGGAACCCATCATCATTCACTTTCTGGGTCAGCCTCCTAGAACATGTTGCAGGAATTTCCAACTTACATCAAAAGTGCCTCACTCAACCAGGAACTGGAAAAACAGTAATTGCAAGTAAACACAAAATAAATGTTTGTTTAATCAATGAAAATGAGTTTTTATTTATATACAGAGCTGTCTGCTACTGTTATTTTTAGTGGGAGAAAATGTCTACTTTGGGCACTTTCAATCATGGGCAGAATCACCGCAAATCTCCCTATGATTTCAAAACACTTTCCTAAAATAACAAATCTCACAACAGGGTGTTCATGTGTCATTCATTTTAATGCCACCTAAAAACGAGATGAGGTTCTGCCGCAATTGTCGCGCAATAAATCAAGCTGCAATCCGACCAAACGCAAAGCTCCTGAACTTCTTTTGGTTGACACACTTTGAGTGATGCAGTTTGCCGTGATTGCAGTGCAATTTATCGTGTGACAATTACAGCAGAGCTGCACCGCATTTTTAGTTGCCATTAAAATGAATGCCACCTGAACACGCTATTGTGCGATTTGTTGTTAGCAAAGCATTTAGAAATGGCCGGCAGAATCTCAGAAATTCTGTCCGCAATTCAAAACGCCCAAGTGTGAAGGGGGTCTTAATGGCCAGGGCAGTCGTATGGTGTATATGGTGGTTCAGCCACCACTCTTATTTCCTGCAAAGACTTGATTTTGGGGGCTGGTGCTTGCCAAATGTATTTTCTAGATTTTGCTGTCCCCATGGATTAGCAGTCTATCACATCTGGCTGCTCACAGTAAAGACATAAAGAATACTGTGGTTAAAGAAGAAGCAAGTCATTCTAATGGCTGCACATATACAATGATAAGCCATGACAATATGACCACCACCCACCATAACTTGACCACCCACCTAATATTGAGTAGGTCCCCTTTTGCCACCAAAACAGCCTGACCCAACGAGGAAAAGAATACACCACACCTTTGAAGGTATACTTTGGTGGCACCAAGCTGAGAATAACAGATCAATCTCTCTACTGGCTTGCCTTCTTCCCATAGTGCATCCTGGTGTCACCTCCTCCCCAGCCATCCGTAAGATGTAAAAAAAAAAAAAAAATGTGATTCATCAGACCAAGCCACATTCTTCCATTACTCAGGGGTCCAGTTCTGATGCTCACATGCCTATAGAAGCTTTTGGCTGTGGACAGCACGGGCACCCTGACCATTCTGCGGCTATGCCGCCCCATAGAAAGACTTTCGGTAGGTCCTGACCACTGCAGACTGGGAAAATCCCATAAGAGCTGCAGTTTTGGAGTTACTCTGACCCAGTCTTCTAGCAATTACAATTTGACCCTTGTCATAGTCGCTCAAATCCTTACGCTTGTCTATTTTTTTATGCTTTCAACACATCAATTTCAATGATAACATGTTTACTTGTCAACTAACTTTCAGAAACAATTTTTACAAGATAATCAATATTATTCTCTTTACCTGTCAGTGGTCATAATGTTATGGCTGATCAGTGTATTAAAGAAATGCACCAAGAACTTTTAAATACCGCTGCCTTGTGTGGCAGATTAACACAGCTGTCATGTTAGATAAATGAAAAAAGGGTATTAAAAAAGATAAGCTGCTTATAACAGCAATGAGGATTTATCACCTTTGCTGCACAGAAAAATATAAATTTTATGCATTTTCTATAAGTTTGCAGCGTGTTTCAATCCCCCCACCATCACCATCACCACCTGCCCTGTCTGATAGTAGCCCTGTGTCTATGTAAAATATCATGCCCCTGCCCCTGAGGTGTGTGTAAAATAAAAAGCTGCCACAAATCCATGGATAAATAAGATGCACTTTAATTTGCACTATATAGACATCCAATTAGGTTCATGTTGCTTGATATATTCTTCTGGGTGCATCATTTATTTTTCTGAAACATAAAGGATACAGTTCCAACCAGACGAAACTCTGAATAGTTATCACACTTAAAGCTGCTAAACCAATGAAAGTTTGAGTCTTTGTGAAAGGTGAACATACCTGAAAATAAAATTGCATTCATTAATTATTTTATATTAATTATTTCCAGTATGATAAAATGTAAAGTTAGCCTTTAAAAAAAAGAAAACATCAGAACACTCACAGCAGCAGTGCTTCCTCCAGCACTGAGGGGAACATAGGCATATGGGCAGCACAGTAGCTTAGTGGTCAGCACTTCTGCCTTGCAGAACTCGGATCATCAGTTCAAATCCCAAGCACGATGCTATCTGCATGGAGAATACACTGGCCCCTTTTTAAAATGACCCTTGTATATAGGAAGTAGAGACGGACTGTAGTCTCTTTGAGGGCAGGGACTAATGTGAACATACATTAAAATTGTTAGAGCTAAATACAGAGATTGGACAAAATTCTGGAAACACCAGGTAGAAGAAAGAAATTGTTACCTAATATGTTGGACTGCCTTTGGCATCTGAGATGGCCTGAATTCTCCTGGGTTTTGGATGGTGGATAATGGAATCGTTTATGCAAAAATCTTTACAGTTCTGGCAGAGATGCTGGAGGCGGAAAATGAGCCAAAAGCATGTTCTCCAAAATTGACCATAGTGGCTCTATGATATTGAGGTCTGACGACTGCAGCGCCCAAGGAAGGTGCAAGATTTCATCTGCATGCTCATCGAATCACGACAACACCAGCTGTGTGAATCAGAGAATTACTGTCTTGGTAAATGGCGATGTCTTCGGGAAACATTGTCTGCACCATAGGGGGGACATGGTCGTCCAAAATTTGAACATAGTCGCTGGCAGAGAATCTACCTTTCAAGGTGATGATGGGGCCTGTAGAATACCAAGATATGGCTGCCCAAACCATGATTGCGCCACCACCATGCTTTACCGTTGGCATAAGACAGTCCCGGTAGTAAACTTGACATGGTGTTCGCCACATGTAAACACATCTGGTGGTTGGGAACAGTGTGAAGCTCGATTCATCGGACCATATTATAGTCTTCCATTGATCGATAGTATGGGTGTTGCATCACTCTCCTCTTCTAAACATTAAGATCGGTCACTAGTGGTTTGGCAATTGCAGCTCACGCGTGAATGTTTTGCTTATGGAGTTCCCTCCGCAGTTTTTGTGGACACGGGCTTTGGAAAACTGAAATTTAGCTCTGCAGTCACTTTTGCAGCAGTTGTTTTCTTATTCTGGGTCACAATCATGCACAATGTCCTTTTTGTCTCTTTCGGTCAGTTGACCATGTCGACCGCACTTATGCTTATCAAATGACGTTTTCCCAGAAACTGTATATGCCGTCATAACCTTTGATACTGTACCTTGCGACACGGCAAATAAATCGTCACCTTCAGTCACAGAGGCACCAGCTAAGCAGGCACAAAAAATTTGCCCTCATTGAAGCTCAGTAAGCTCCGACACAACTCTCACATTACTAGCAGCACACGTAGTGAATGACGAAAGTGAGGCTTCCCACGTGTTAGCTGGGTGTTTCATCACACAGCGGAAGCAAAAGAATGTTACATCACTTCTGCTTTCTACACGAAACATGCTGTCACCTTCAAACCTGCAAATTATGTAGTGTTGCAATATGTTTGTCCAACCCCTGTAAGTACCTGAAATAAAAAATGATCTCTAAATTATATGGGGTGATGATTTTGACATCACTGCCCTGCCCTCTCCACCTTGTCCAATTAGAGAACTCCTTACATAAATTGACAACATGCATAGTGTTCTCTAAATGGCACCTGTGCCAAGTGAGCGACTCCCCCTTTGTTCACTATGCAGGAGGGAAGGCTTGGCATGGGACCCGGAAGCTAGTGGCCACCTCTGTAGTAGCAGTGATTTCCAGCTTCCACAGAGATCAGCCAGGTTTGACATATACATACAGTGGGGCAAAAAAGTATTTAGTCAGCCACCAATTGTGCAAGTTCTCCCACTTAAAAAGATGAGAGAGGCCTGTAATTGGCATCATAGGTAGACCTCAACTATGAGAGACAAAATGAGAAAAAAAATCCAGACAATCACATTGGCTGATTTGGAAAGAATTTATTTGCAAATTATGGTGGAAAATAAGTATTTGGTCAATATGAAAAGTTCATCTCAGTACTTTGTTATATATCCTTTGTTGGCAATGACAGAGGTCAAACGTTTCCTGTAAGTCTTCACAAGGTTGGCACACGCTGTTGCTGGTATGTTGGCCCATTCCTCCATGCAGATCTCCTCTAGAGCAGTGATGTTTTGGGGCTGTCGCTGGGCAACACAGACTTTCAACTCCCTCCAAAGGTTTTCTATGGGGTTGAGATCTGGAGACTGGCTAGGCCCTTTCAGGACCTTGAAATGCTTCTTACGAAGCCACTCCTTCATTGCCCGGGCGGTATGTTTGGGATCATTGTCATGTTGGAAGACCCAGCCACATTTCATCTTCAATGCCCTTGCTGATGGAAGGAGGTTTGCACTCAAAATCTCACAATACATGGCCCCATTCATTCTGTCCTGTACATGGATCAGTCGTCCTGGTTCCTTTGCGGAGAAACAGCCCCAAAGCATGATGTTGCCACCCCCATGCTTCACAGTAGGTATGGCGTTCTTTGGATGCAACTCAGCATTCTCTCTCCTCCAAACACGACGAGTTGTGTTTCTACCAAACAGTTCTATTTTGGTTTCATCTGACCATATGACATTCTCCCAATCCTCTTCTGGATCATCCAAATGCTCTCTAACAAACTTCAGATGGGCCCGGACATGTACTGGCTTAAGCAGGGGGACACGTCTGGCACTGCAGGATCTGAGTCCCTGGCGGCGTAGTGTGTTACTGATGGTAGCCTTTGTTACATTGGTCCCAGCTTTCTGCAGGTCATTCACTAGGTACCCCCGTGTGGTCCTGGGATTTTTGCTCACCGTTCTTGTGATCATTTTGACCCCACGGGGTGAGATCTTGCGTGGAGCCCCAGATCGAGGGAGATTATCAGTGGTCTTGTATATCTTCCATTTTCTAATTATTGCTCCCACAGTTGATTTGTTCACACCAAGCTGCTTGCCTATTGCAGATTCAGTCTTCCCAGCCTGGTGCAGGTCTACAATTTTGTTTCAGGTGTCCTTCGACAGCTCTTTGGTCTTCACCATAGTGGAGTTTGGAGTGTGACTGTTTGAGGTTGTGGACAGGTGTCTTTTATACTGATAACAAGTTCAAACAGGTGCCATTGATACAGGTAATGAGTGCAGGACAGAGGAGCCTCTTAAAGAAGAAGGTACAGGTCTGTGAGAGCCAGAAATCTTGCTTGTTTGTAGGTGACCAAATACTTATTTTCCACCATAAGTTGCAAATAAATTCTTTCCAAATCAGCCAATGTGATTGTCTGGATTTGTTTTCTCATTTTGTCTCTCATAGTTGAGGTCTACCTATGATGCCAATGACAGGCCTCTCTCATCTTTTTAAGTGGGAGAACTTGCACAGTTGGTGGCTGACTAAATACTCTTTTTTGCCCCACTGTATTTATATTGACCCAAACTGAACCAATGTTAATATGGCCTAAATACTGCACTCAAAGATACAAAGTGTTGGAATGAAATATAAAGTGCTTTTTGACCAGCTTATTCAATTAACTGGTCACATCAATTCAGTTAGGCTTTTTTTTTCTATTGAGGTGACTCTGGTGGTGGTAGAGTTAATTGTCTGAAGTAAGAATCATTGCTTAAAGATTGATGGTTAGTGTTTTCAATTTTATGGATTTTTTTCTGGGCACTTTGAAGTGACTGGTATGACAGACTTTTTGTACTTGAAATCAGTTGCTTGAAATCATTCATTTTATTGCACAAGTACTTACTGAATTTTACATATATTTCAATTGCACTTTGATATTTATCTGGCACATAGGTCACCGCAGCCTTCCTTGTTTACCCATAATTGAATTATAAGGGATGTCTCCCTGTTAGGACACTAAAGAGTAGTGAACTTACCATAGTCAGGATGGAAAATTTGTCTGATTAGCAGGAGAAACCACTCCTTAGTTAGGCCACCCATGTCAAGACCAGCTTCCCCAACAAAAGTAACCTTCAACTTTTTCTTCAGGTCTGCCCGTTTTCTTGTAAGCTGGAAAAACAGAGTAGCGTTACCCCTGAAGAGATTATACCAGTTATTTATCGGTTTACAGAAAATGCGGGCTTAGTAAAACAGATAATACTTGTACATATAACAATAATAAAAACTGCAGTGCTCAACAAAGTCTCCTATACTCCTATATAATCTCCTAGATTGTAAGCTCCAAGGAGCAGGGCCCTCGAACCCCTCGTGTATTGTATTGTTACTGTATTGTCTCATGTACTGTCCCCCACTATAATGTACAGCGCTGAGCAAACTTTTTGGCGCTATATAAATATTGTATAATAATAATATACAAAGTCTTCACTGACATAGCTACTGCATTGTATGACGCGATCACATGGTACAGCGGTCTTTTAATAGTTAAAATAGTGGTTCAGGAGGTAACATATCATTTTTGAGCCAAATGTCCACCCCGGATCACTTTTCAAAGGGGCCTCTGTGACCCAAAAGCAAAGTAATGGGTGCCGCTCAGGTAAAAGGTAAAGTCCAAGCTAGACTGTTGTGAGTTCTGGAAGGGAAAGGAGTTTGTCCAAGCTCCAAGCAGTAGCATGTCAGGAAGAGAAGTCCATAAGTCCCACATCATATAGCAGACCTATGTGGAAAAGTGAATAGCAGCCTCAGCCTTGGCTCTGACCAAGGCACACCCCCAACGCATTTCGCTCTGCCCCTCAGAGCTTAATCATGGGAATCTAAACTCTACTGTATGTGTAAACAAAGCCTAACAGAAGATATATAACTAGGGTGAGAGTTTTTCCAGCTGGTTGAGACATTTTGGTAAAAGGTGATTTGTTTTACAAATGTAGGATCACAAGGATTTCTGAGGACAATTTCTCTGTTTGGCAAATAATAGGAAGAAAAAAAAACAAACTGAATAATTTTGTTCGCTTTATTGTCTTATTTTCATTTATGGTTTCGCATGATTAGACTTTTTATTATAGTATAGGCTTTTCATTGTAGCACTGCAGTTTCTAACTTTGCTACTGTATATATCACACTGATTCACTGTAGCAGCTTATGTAAACTTAGATTTAGGTATCTTAGGTGGGTAGTGCAGAAACACACTGTAAGATTTTCAATACTTTCACATGATTCTGAAAGTGACTGGGTAAAGCAGAAATGTCTCAGTTTTTCAATAAAGCAAAGAGCAATGGTGAAAGTGTAGGAAGCCATGTTGACCAATCAGAAGTAATTTTTGTGACCTGACAGCATCCATTGAGTTGGCCAATCAATAATATTAAATGTCTTAACACATATTCAGTATGAGCTCTGGCTATCTGGCAGCACAGTGGCTGCATGGTTAGCACTTCCACCTGGTAATACTAGGGTTGCTGTTTCAGATCCCAGCCACGGCACCACTTGCCTGGAGTTTGCATGTTTTCTCCCTGTGCCTGTGTGGGTTTTCTCCGGGTACTCCACTTTCCTCCCACACTCCAAAGACATGCTGGTAGGTTAATCGGATCCTGTGTAAATTGGACCTACTATGTATGGATGTAAGTTAGGAACCTTAGATTGTACATCCCTTGAGGGTTAGGGACTGATGTGAATGTACAATATATATGTAAAGCCCTGCATAAATCGATGGTGCTATAAAAGTACCTGAAATAAATAAATATTGCAGTATATGGTTCATACAAAAAAATATTATTAATCTCTAAGTCACACAGTGGGGGTTATTTACTACAACTGCAAAGTGCAAACTCTGGTGCAGCTCTGCATAGAAACCAATCAGCTTCCAGATTTTATTGCTGAAGTTTAATTAAACTAGCTGAACTTAGAAGCTGATTGGCTACCACACAGCTGCATCAGATTCTCAGTGCCCCATTTTTAGTAAATCTCCCCAATGCCTTTTTGGCTTAGTTTGTAAACAACGGTATCTACAATTAAAATTTGAGCTCCTATAACATTTGTCCGTTTATGTAACCAAGGATTGCTATTCAAAAATAATACCTCATCAAGCGAATCACTGACCAGTTGCAGTCGCCTCACTTTAATATTAAGAAACAACATATTCATATCTGGCTTTTGCCGCCTAGCTACTTTATCCACAAGGCTTTGCTGCAGAAATAAAAGACAAAATAAGAATTAGATTTTTACTTTCAGACATTTAAGGTGCTTAATGTGCTGTAATCTACAATAACCAATTTTATCTCTCTGGTTAGAGGCCCTGTCACCAACTTAAATCAAATGCAGGTAAATGCACAAAAAAGCAAGTATTTTCATGGAGTACATGCAGTGCTTTTCCTTTAATCATTTGCAATGTGCCTTTCAGGTTATGAATAAGCACTAAGTGTGCAAAACGCGTCAACCTTTCCCTCCCGCACTGTATGTATCCTGCCTTGGCTTTTATGTTCAATTCCAGTAAAGTGGATCATTTTGGCAGAGCGGCCTGTCCGGACTTTTTACTGGTTTCAATGTGCCTTTTAACTTGCCAGAAAATGTGACTACTCCAGAAAGAGTCTATTCCCTAGCACAGTCACCTATCTCCTTTTACATTATAGCTCCCTCCTCTTCTGGAAGTGTCTGCTTACTCTCTGTGTTGTACTGTCTGTGTCACCCCTCACCTTCCTACATACTGGTATGTAGCTGCTGGGGGAAAAGTAATGAGGAGTAATCACAGATCGGCATCCAGCATGCATAACATACATTCAATGCACACATAGGGGGTTATTTACTAACACTGAAGGGTGCAAAATCAGGTTCAACTCTGCATAGAAACCAATCGGCTTCCAAGTTTTATTGTCAAAGCTTAACTGAACTAGCTGAAGTTAGAAGCTGATTGGCTACTATAAACATCCTGAGTGCTCCAGTTTTAGTAAATCTCCCCCATAATATTATGGGAAACGTTTTTCTTAAAATGAATGGTCTGGCAAGAGGGTATCTTTAAACACTAACATGTATATCTGGTTGGTACATGTTACAGCATTTCTGTGCTTTTTTTTCATTGTGTCCTTAGGATGGGGAAAGAGGTGATGAGGGCTAAATTTACCATTTAAAAATCAATTTGCTTATGATGGGAATCACAAATAACACCGATTATGTTTAAAATGTAGCACATTTGTTGATAGGTTTCTGTGTTTAAATAAAATAACTAGGCTCATTTAAATCATTACATGTCCACAACGAACCATCTGTCAGTTGTTTTGTGGTGAGCAATTGACTCACAAAATAGAAAAACTTGCAATTTGTTTTTTCATTCTTCCGTATACAGTTTATGAATTCAGATTTGTCTTATTAGTAGAGAATCCTACAATCAATAAATCATGTTTAGATTTTTGAACTGCTTGATTCTCATCAGATCAGAAGAGTATAAAAATGTAAGCATTGCTGATTCTCATGATTAGATCACCATTGCTCTTGAGGGTAGCTCCAGCCTCTCAGAATCTGAGGCTGACATACTGTAGGCAAATTGATGGGAACTTTCTGAGCAGCTTCTGCTTGCTGAAGCAAAAAGTCAGAAAGAGCACATTATAGTCTAATCAGAGGGCTTACCATTCCAAAAGTGGAAGTTATTTGATAGACAAAGGAAATAGAAGGAACATTAGGAAATATAAGGAACATTAGGGAAATATAACTTCAGCTCACTCAAGTTATTTGCTAAAAAAAACCTGATGAATAAGAATTCAGGTTACATCTCTTTACGTCCGCCTGCCCATAGACATACATTGTGGCTCAGTCTGGATCTGTATGAATAAATGAGGGTTGTATCCAGGGGCGGACTGACCAATTGGAAACTCGGGCACTGCCCGAGGGCCCGGGGTCAGTAGGGGGCCCCATGAGATGCCCCTGGTACCTTTTTCATAGGCTTTTTTGAGTTTGGGCATGGACACAGGGGCCCCATGATCCCCTATTGCCCGGGGGCCCCATGAGTTGTCAGTCCGCCCCTGGTGTATCCAGGCTTAATGCCCATGTGAAAGGGCCCTTAAGCACAGAAATGGCTATATAAATGTTAACCTGTTAGAAACTTTGCCCAAGGCAGGTATCTGCCCCTCCTTTGCCACTTAGAAATGAAATGCAAATTCCCAAAGGCAATAGTGGAGTGAAAAGTGGAACTTTGCTTGATAAGTATGAAATGATAATTTCAAAATGACATGTATAAGATGAACAAAGCCTGCCTTACTCTTGCAATGCTGATCATCTGTTGCTCAGAGTCCTTCTGGATGATGACTTTTTTTGCAGCAATGGAGAGGACAAAAGGAAACTGACAAAATGAAAACCTACAAAACATAAATGGATTGTTAAATGTTAAACCCAAACCTTTATTGGCACTGTCAACTTTCTGTTTGGATCTTGTACTAGGCATCATGGACTGTTGAGAAGTAAAATCTGTAGCAAAATATCTAAAAGTCTAAAAAACTCTGGAATTGGGTCTCAATGCACAATGAGATGAAGTGCCCACATACTGGATAATTACAAAAATATATATGCATTGTGTTACATAATTAGTCTGGCTGCAAAAAGATCAATCAAAAAAACAGTTCAATAAAAAAAAAAAAAAAAGTTATAATCCTATACCCACAGTTGATCCAGAGGAAGGCAAAAAAACCCAGCAAATCATGATCCAATTTGCTCCTGCAGGGAAACACTTCCTTTCTGATCCCCGAGAGACAAACAGATATTTCCTGGATCAACTTTACCTATAAATGTTAGTATGCAATTATATTATGTGTATCTAGGCCTTTTTCAAAGCAGTCCACTGAGCTGGCCAGAACCAACTTTTGAGGGAGTCTATTCCACATTTTCACAGCTCTCACTGTGAAGAAACCTTTCTGTATTTAGAGATTACATTTCTTTTCCTCCAGATGTAAAGAGTGCCCCCTTGTCCTCTGTGATGACCTCAGGGTGAATAGCTCTACACCGAGTTCACTATATGAACCACTGATATATTTATACATGTTGATCATATCCCCCTTTAATCTCCTCTTCTCAAGAGAGAATACATTCAGTTCCTCTGATCTTTCCTCATAGCTGAGCTCCTCCATGCCTCTTATCAGTTTGGTTGCCCTTCTCTGCACTTTCTCCAGTTCCCCAATGTTCTTTTTGTGAATTGGTGCCCAAAACTAAACTGCATATTCCATATGAGGTGTTACTAATCCATAATGTACAATCGCAACTTCGTCCTGTAGGTAGGTGAAAATGTTGCTTCCTATGATCAAGCTGCAGTGCCCTATGCTGACTGAGCAGAGTAACAGCCAAGTCTCTCAGTACTGTACACAGATTTGTGTTGCAGGTAAGGGGAGGAGATGTGTCCGATATGCTCTGTGTGAATTACTGAGTGTTCTGGGTATTTTTCTGTTGCCTATTAGTCTGCATAATCATATCTGTATACACACAAGTAAGCTCTTTCAGGTGAAACACATTAGCATGTAGGTCCCAAAGGCAGGGACTTTTAGAGTGATTGTTGGCTTTAATAAATCAGAATCTATAGGATGTTATCAGAGGGCAGTGAGTTCCTTCTTCCTGTTTATGGGCTTAAACATCACTATGTCTGTTCACTCAGTCACCCCCAGTCACAATTTGCCCTGTATTTGAACCTCCTACATTACCTGAAGAGTAGCGGTGGCTCCCTGGCTGTCTATGTTATCTGCCATTGTTTTGGGTTTCTGGTGCCAAATACCACAGGCTAGACCTTTGAACAAAAGCTGGCCATAGATGGCGCGATTTTCTTTCCTGCAACTATGCATTGTGTGGGGAGCAATCCCTGCCAGGAGAACACAGTGATTACTGCTAGCAGCTATAGCCGTTGGCAATAATTATATGAAAAATCCGACATGCTGGATACAGTATACCCGAGCTGATCGATCAATTAACTTGGGTACAATCATCCTGTCCACAAATGGTTCAAATCTTGGCCAGTCCTGCTGAACTGGCCAGGATTCGAACTGTCTATGGATTGCTTAAGGAGCCAGTTGTTCCCCTGTTTTTATACTACCCCCTTTACCTACAATTGACTCATTATGATACTCTAAGCTTGCCTGACATTGAGGATAATTTACTACAGGCAAATAAGCAGTTTATTTTGTAAGGGCCTTTCTTCTTCGCTTAGTGAATGTGGTGAAACTTAATTTTGAACAGAATACCCAGTAATGTGCAAGAAAAAAAAAAAACATTATTTCTGCTTGTTGGGACATAGAAGTCAGCAGAGCTTTACCTTATTCACTAAGTTAAAGATAAATTTCCCTTGCAAAGTGAACAGCCTTTTTGGCTTTAGAAAATCAACTCTAATATACCCAGGCTGCAGCCCTCTTAGTACCTAATTCTGTAGAGTTCACCATTACCTCTTCTTTCAGCTCTTCCTTTACTTGTATGCTGCCAACCAGTTTCCTTTTGCTCTACCTTCTGGTACCTTGTGTTTGGTGGGGGGGGGGGGGGTTCTGATACATATCAGCCTACTGTTTTTGGGGATGCTATGGAGGGACTGTAACAAGTCTTTGAGGTACAGCTAGTTAAATGTAACTCTTTCTCCAACGGTGAACTTGCAGAAAAAAAAGCGAAAATATATTGGAATGTTTAAATAACACAAACTCTTTCTATTTTTGAATGTATGCAAGTCAAGTCTTTAGCAAGGGCTTTAATTATGTGGGAAAGTGGAGGTGATGCCCATGACAACCACCAACCATGCATAACATCTTTGTATGCTATGGGCAACAAACACTTGCATGAACATTTCTTAATTATTATAAGGTATATTTATCAATGTTTTCACCCAGGATTCACATGACTTCCATCCATTTTCCATATAAAACTTTATAAGAAAAATGGATGAATATTGGATAAAAGTTGTGTGAGTCTTGGATGAAAACCTTGTAAATGGACACCTATATCTGTTAATATTTTCATGACAATGACTCAATTTAATTTGATTTAATTTAAATACTTACCTGTGAGTGCTGCCATAAAACTGCCAGGTTTGATAGTCTTCCATAAGATCAATATGATCCAAAGTGGAATTATAGAAGTCGGTGTAAGGAATAATTGGTGGATTGCAAAGAGAGTTTGCAGCATCTGTGGGAGCAAAACAAAATCTCAGTGGCAATAGTCTAATTTTAGGCAGTGGTAGTATACTCTGTATAAGCCTGGCTATATGCAGATACTGTGTATGTCTACCTAAAATATCAAAGTCTGTCTCCTTTATAGTGCCAAGACTTTAGGCCACCCAATGGACTGAAGCAGAGCACACACTGTTGACCACCTTCATATATATTCTCATTGAGAAGAGAAGAGCTGTACATTCTCAATATTTTCCAAGGATTAAGCCTCATACTTACAATGAGAATATCGGACAACAGTCGTCTGATTTTTTTTTTTTTTTTTTGCATTCTAGTCATGTACGAGAAATTTCATAACCTTAGTTACCTCTTCATTTTCGATATAACAGAATACAACTTTGAAAGTGATGTAATGTATTGTATTGTAATGTATTCTTTAGTTTCTGAGTATGCGTGATCTTGGTCTTCCAATTTTTGTCAGATGAATACAGTACTGATTAAACGAAAATCAAGTTCTGGTATTGTATGAGAAAAGTTTTCGTGTTTGTCGCTTTAGATAATTTTGCATGATCAACTCTCGAAATTTGGCACAATCAGCTCTCAAAAGCTGTGTACTAATGATCAGATTATGGTACGATCGCTTTGAAAGCTGTATTTTTTGTTCGATTTTCTCATCTGTATACTAGGCATTACCTTACACGGTCCGATAATTCCTTTAGTTCTGGATTAGGCCATTTATGGCAAACATTAGTACTGCAGTGTTCCCCAGAAGCCTCTGTCTGGTTTAAAAAAAAGGCGACTATACACATATAAATTTATATGAATTCTAAAAGATATCCACCTAGTTATCATGAATGATGTGCCCATTCAAGGATCTGCATGCAATTTTCTTGTGCATGGTATAGCCGATCAGCACCTGCACCAACTGCCCATATCTCCTATCTGTTGGTTTAGCCGATCAGCACCTGCACCAACTGCCCATATGTCCTATCTGTTTATCTACCATGTATGGTCAAATTCGCAGGACACCAAGTGGCTTAGGAAGAGAACTGTCAAGCTATGTATAGATATACTTACAGTTCTGAATATGTTTGCTGTATCTGTCACATTGTTTGCTGACAATAAGGTAAATTTATATAAAAGCCCTTGCATCAAAATCATTGGTATATATTTAAGAAATGAGGTGCAATTAGAAATCTTTTGTTTGACTAATTACAATAGACAAAAAGTCTGATCTTCAAAATGTGTAGAAAGGCTTATCACTAAAGAATAAGAAGCTTTCATATCCACATAATTACATGAATTTAAACTTGTATGGATTTTTTCTATAATCATATATATGGAGATATGAATGTAAGCACAGCAGAATCATCTGGACAAAGACTAATTAAAGGGTCTGTCCAATTAAAACCTATTTAAGTCATGGATAAATGCTGGCCTGACAAGAAAAATTAACAAACGTCTCTCCGTGGCAGAGTAACCAATTCATGCCTAGACTTTGCTATTGAGTAATGCTCCTTTTGAAACATTAATCTTTAATGTAAACTAAATATTCAACATGGAGAACCCTTTAGTATTGCTGCAGGTAGGTAAGAATTTGAATAATTCAAGCAGCTGGAATCTACCAAAATTGAAAAAGTGAACTGAACACACCTTAGAACAAATATGTTAACTAGCAACAGTCCTACGACCACCACATCAAATTATTGTATTAACTTACTTAGCAAAGCTAGCACTTTGATTGCAGATGGAATCCACCAAGTGCACTTTGCTACCGGTGGAAACTCTTCAGGCTTTGCAGGAAAAAGGCGCAAGGATATGAACTGTAACAATCGGTCAACCAACTGCTTGAAACGCTTTGGTGACATCCTAGCAAAAAAAAAATAACAGAAAAAAATTATTTTTCAAACAGAAAACACCAACCATCAGCTTCAGGCAAGAAAAATGTGTAATGGGCTGGTAATGCGGTAAATCCTTTCTACATGAGTATGTGTGTTTCAAGTAATTAAACACAACAAATCCAAAAAAGACAGTTGTTCTTTGTCCATAATTTTGAGTATAGCCAAGTAAATCATAAACAGATTGCTTATGCTGGTTTTAAATACCAGGAGCTCTGCCTGCAGGTCTAATCCCGTGTTTTTAGCCTTCTTCCATTCGTTCTCTTGATCATTGTTATAAGAAACCATTTTTTATGAATGAAATCCATTCATTTAGTGTGTACTATTGTGATTAGCGGTGATTGGCCACAGCTAATTACATGCTACAGATGTGATGTGATTGGGCCTGTACCATGTGATCACTGTGACCAATCACAAAGATCAACGCAACAGTACACAATAAATGGCTATGAATGGAAGTCACTCGTGTGTACAATTGCCATGTGATCTGCTGTGACTGGTCACAGTGATCACACGGTACTGACAGTGGCCCAGCACACTGATCTGTCACTGGACACAGCAGGTGACAGATAGTGCCGCAGCATGGCCCCATCCTGGAAGGACATCATATGATGTCCACTCAGGATAGCAGCACTCCTACTCGAATGTCATTTGTCTGTAGGAAGGCGGTCAATACTGCTGTTCTCCTTTGTAAATGCTCCTTTCTAAAAATTCCAGGACTGAAAAAATCCCACTTAACTTCCCTTTACCTCTAATGTTTATGGGGTCTGTGAAGTAATTAACCGTATCTGTACTGGGCTAGCAAATTATATTATCAGATGTAAACTAGATTTGAACAGTCTGTCCTAAGAAAGGGTTAAAGATCTAGAAGTCTGACTTCACCATTGTATGGTAATGAGGGGAAACTTGGTGCACCCCTCTTTGCAAGTAAGAACAGAAGGCGTTTCCCCTCATTTCAAATTGTATTGTCTGCCCAGAATTCTGATCCAAACATCCAAAAGGCAAGAAATGTTTTTTTAAAAATGTTTTAGGTATGCTGTGTGAATGTGAACACTTGTAGCTTTTAAAAGCAAGTCAACCTGGGAAATCCATAAAAACATTAATATCACCCACCCTCCAAACAACAAAACACCCTTGATTGACATTCACTTTAAATCTGAAAAATGTCCTTACTTTTTGAACCAATGTATTAACAAATTGTGGTCCGCATCTGACAGTGTGGTGATTTGTCTAAGCAGATGTGCGTAGATGACATAAGTAGAGGTGCTGCTGAACTGTGGATTCTTAAAAGTACAATTATAGATAAGTTAGCAATTAAAACATCTTTACTTCTAAAAAAAAACATGAATAAATTAGGAACTAGTCAAAGTCTTCTGACCTGTGTTAGAATAAAATAGGCTCGAAGGTCATCCTTTGTTCTTGGCCTAATAAAACAATTTGAAATGTAAGTGCCTTGCACAGCAAAAATATTCAATGGCTCAAATGCAAAAAAGTCTCACAACATAAACACATTATTGAAGAGAAAGTAAACTTCTATCATTGTCAGTATTTCCTTACATTCATGATATTAATTGACCACTGACAAAAATTGGTTTTAATAGTGTAGGGAAGCATTACAACTTTTGTCAAGGTTTTCATGATAGCAGTAACAACATTTTTGTTTTGTTTTGTCTTTTGTAAAATCTTTATTTTAAATTCACAGAGCAGAATTTGGTTTACAGATCTCGCAGTCATAAGAAATTACATATGCGTACTGAAGTCAATAAAGCTGTTAAAATAGAAATTATATTAACAGGATAAACCAAGAAAGACTTCCAGGCAGACCAGTTGTCTCAACTAATGAGAAGGTTTTAACCTCTTTGTGCCTAAGGGTAAAACATATATTAATGCCTAAGCACAATTTTGCAACTTTGACATGCATTAGTAAAACAGTACATATCATCACAACTACTTTGTGCATCCAGGTGGATTACTCCTTGTTTTTTTTTGGGATAAATTGGGCTTTCATTTGGTGGTAATAGTACATGGTAATGAATATCTCCTAATTTTTTTGATTATCAAAGGAGAACTGGCCCAAAATAGTATAAAAAAAAATATTTTTTTTTAAATTTAGCTGTATATTTCTTGTTATTACCATAACCTACTACCAAAGAACAACCCAAAATAAAATCTTGTTCTTCCGACAATGGCAACAATACCACATATGTGTATGTTAGTTGTTGTATATACCCATAGTACAGCCTGGACACAATAGTGCACATTTTCCTTTTTTACTCCTACCTTATGCACACTGATGCTAACTAAAAAAAAAAAGCCTGCCCAAAATATACTGGCCCTGACCTCTGACCCTAACACTAACCCTGGCACTGAGCTAGATAAAACCTTGAACTAGGTATTTTTTCCTTATTTTGTATTTAAATTATTATTATTATTGTCTTTATTTTACACACTAATGTTTATTTTTCTCTCTGCAAGGAGAGAGAGAGATAATTGATCTTATTACATTAACACCTTGGCGCCGAGCATACGCATATATGCGACTCCACTGGACTGGGCTTTTTTCCGTGGGGCCTCATATATACATATGTGTCTTTGTGCTGGGAGCCCCAACACAGCTCGCTCCTAGTACAGAGACCAGGGAGTTAGTACAGGACCCCAGGTTCCTAATGAGGCCTGGTCTCTGTGTGGGAAGCGCGCTTTGCAGCATGCTTCCAGCACAAAGACACATATGCATATATGAGGCCCCCACGTGGAAAAAAGCCCAGTCTAGTGGGCCGCATATATGTGTTCGCTCGGTGCCAAGGTGTTAATGTAATAAGATAAATTGGATCTTAACTTCAAGGGTGGAGGAAGAATGTATACAGGAAGGGCAGTACATTTATCTAAAATGGGCCATGCAGTCTCATAATCAGTAGAGTGAAGGGGAAATACGTTAAAAAATGGGAAGAGAACCGAGAGGGGTGTGTTATGGGGGAGGAGGAAGGAGGGATTACTAAATGGCCTACTTGGTAAGCTTTGGGTCAGAGGCCAGATTTAAAAAAAAAAAAAAAAAGAGAGGGAAGAGGAAGAGATGGTCGTGGTGAGGGGTGGCAACAGAAGTTGTTCTTGGGTAGAACTCTACGAGAGTCTCATACACCTATGGTTCCTCATTAATGAGGGCCTTGCCCTCTTCTGAAAACAGATAGACAGTCTAGTAGAACCAGGTTTTTTTAAAGGTTTCAAGTTTATTGTGGGAATAAAGTACAAAATCCTCCATAGACCTGATTTGTTCTACTTTACGCATCTACGTGGAAATAGTGGGGAGTGGAGTCTTTCCACTTCAGTTGGATACAGGATTTAGTATTGGCACTTTTTATCTCTGACCCCATGACACAAAATGTGGAGAAATGGGTGTAAATTCGACAGTATGGAACCAACTGCAATAAAATATTGAGGGAATAACCAATTCCCCAACAACAATTTTTTTTCTAAAGGCAAAGGGGAAAATTAATCAGTGGGGACCTGTATTCCAGTAGTACTGTCCAAGAGGGTATTTCCTCTTACTTTTTGTTGTGTCTTTGGGATAGAAGGTGATGGAAAATCTGTTTGATGTAGAAAATAAAAAAACAGGAGTTTTTTTACCATTATTACTTTACTCATAAAAAAAGTTATGGCTATACCTATAATTTAATAACCACAAGAAGGCAATTAAAAACATTTTAATTTTGTATTTGAAGGAATAGACAGTGGGGTTGATTTACTAAAACCGGAGAGTGTAAAATCTGGTGCAGCTGTGCATGGTAGCCAATCAGCTTCTAACTTCAGTTTGTTCAAGTAGGCTTTGACAAAAAAAAAGGCTGGAAGCTGATTGGTTTCTATGCAGAGCTGTACCAGATTCTGCACCCTCAAGTTTTAGTAAATAACCCCCAATGAATGTATCTTACCCTTTCCATTCTCTTAACAGACTGTTAATAATTCCTTTTAGCACTGTTTTCTGGATATCTTGAGCCTGATAAAAAAAAAAAAAAAAGTTTGGCAGTCAGGAAATGACACGTTTAAGTCATAGTAAGCACGTAATGCAAATACATATGAGAAGTTACCTTCAGTGAAAGCTAAATGACAGAATGAACAGTAGATCCAGAGGCATAGACAGTTTACATTATATGAAAATCTTAAACTTCCTGTTAACAGTTGAGCTTGAAAACACCACCTTCTAGGCTGGTCAATGATACCATTCATCACAATAGATATCCAATCAGGCTTAGTAGGTGGGGGGGGGGGGGGAACTGTGACTTGACAGGAAAACTTACTTGAGATTCGGGATACTTTATCTGCCTGTTGATTTTTGCACTTTACATATACTCACCGGCCACTTTATTAGGTACACCTTGCTAGTACTGGCTTGGACCCCCTTTTTCCTTCTGAACTGCCTTAAATCTTTATGGCATAGATTCAATAAGGTGTTGGAAACATTCCTCAGAGATTTTGGTCCATGTTGCCATGATAGCATCATTTGCAGATTTGTCAGCTGCACATCCATGATGCAAGTCTCCTGTTCTACTACATCCCAAAGGTGCTCTATTGGATTGAGATCTGCTGCTTGTGGAGGCCATTGGAGTACAGTGAACTTATTGTCAAGTTCAAGAACCCTTTTTGAAATGATTTGAGCTTTGTGACATGGTGCATTATCTTGCTGGAAGTAGTCATAAAGGGATGGACATGGTCAGCAACAATACTCATGTAGGCCATGGCGTTTAAAGGGGCCCAAAGTGTGCCACGAAAATATCCCCCACACCATTACACGACCACCTGCAATCTGAACCGTTGATACAAGGCAGGATGGATCCATGCTTTCATGTTTACACCAAATTCTGACCCTACCCTCTGAATGTCGCAACTGAAATTGAGACTCATCAGACCAGGCAATGTTTTTCCAATCTTCTATTTTCCAATTTTTGGTGAGGCTGTGCAAATTGTAGCCTCCATTTCCTGTTCTTAACTGACAGCAGTGGCACCCGGCCTGGTCTTCTGCTGCTGTAGCCCATCTGCTTCAAGGTTTGATGTGTTGTGTGTTCAAAGATGGTATTCTGCATACCTTGATTGTAGCAAGTGGTTATTTGAGTTACTGTTGCCTTTCTAACATCTCAAACCCATCTGCCCATTCTCCTCTGGCCTCTGACATCAACAAGGTATTTTCATCTACACAACTGCCGCTCACTGGATATTCTCTTTCTCGGACCATTCTCTGTAAACCCTAGAGATGGTTGTGCATGGAAATCCCATTAGATCAGCAGTTTTTTAAATACTCAGACCAGCCCGTCTGGCACCAACAATCATGACACGTTCAAAGTCACTTAAATCCCCTTTCTCTCCCATTCTGATGCTCAGTTTGAACTTCAGCAAGTCATCTTCACCATGTCTACATGTCTAAATGCATTGAGTTTCTGCCAAGTGATTAACTGATTAGCAATTTGTGTTACCGAGCAGTTGAACAGGTGTACCTAATAAAGAGGCCGGTGACTGTATATCTCTAGATCTAGTACAACAAAAGTTATCACAGTGGCTAATCAGTAAGCACTTCCGCCTGGCAGCACTAGGGTCATTGGTTTAAATCTCAACAATGGCTCTACCTAGCTGGAGTTTGCATGTTCTCCCTGTGACTGCATGTGTTTCCTCCCACACCCCAAAGACATGTTGGTAGGTTAACTGGCTCCTGTCTAAATTGACTCTAGTATGTGTATGTATGAATATGAGTTAGGGACCTTCGATTGTAAGCTCCTTGAGGGTAGGGACTGATGTGAATGTACTATATATATGTAAAGCACTGTGTAAATTGACAGTGCTATATAAGTACCCAAATTTAAATGTATCTCCAGAGTAAATTAAACAAACTGTAGCAAAATAAATACGATAAACAAGGTCATCATTCTGAAGAAATATTGTACAATATATGCAATGTTATATCAATATATTGCTATTTACCCCTTATATGGACCCTACTTTACTGATAATAGATCGCTGTAAAGGTGGCCATAAACAGTTCGAATCTCAACCGGCCGAGATTCGAACCATGTATGGGCAAGCTGAATGTACCCAAGTTGATCGATCAATCAACTAGGGTACAACCAGCCTAGAGGATTTTACATGCGATTATTGTTAATGGCTAGTATACCCGCTAGCAGTAATCAATATGTGGGCTCCCCCCTCCCCACCGGGAGAACACCATGGCTCCACAAGAGGGATTCCCCCATCAACACTGACTATGTTGATGGGGGAATTGAGTGATTTTATTTCCTGCAACACGTGATTGCAGGAAAGAAAATTGCTCCTTCTATGGCCAGCTTAAGTCTTGGCATGGAGAGCAGGGTGTTAGTACTTTTGAGCTAACAGGGGGAATTATGTTTTTATTCTATGTACACTATGTTACAATGATCATTCAGTTTAGGGTAAATGAACAATAATCCTAATTATCACACAGCAGCATATCCTGTACGTCTTCTCCAGCTGTCTACTGGCAAGACCACATTTCTGTACTACCGCACAGGTAGAGGGCTCAGTATATATTTCAGTACATGTAGTTGTGACATAGATTCACACAGGTGATTTCTACAGCAGGTACTGGCTAGACTTCCCATCCCAGGAAAATATCTAGTCAGTAAATGTAACTGTACAAAAAAAAATGAAATTGGTAAAATTCAAATACTTACAGTATTTAATAAGGCATCATAGACAGTGTTTAAAAAATTTTTGTATTAATTCTAGAATCCTCAACAGTGTTGACAGAAGTATTTACATCTCTCTGTAAAAAAAGAAAAAACAACTTACTACTGGAAGACAACGTTATGCGTTAATATTACAAATGCCCTGTATTTAAATGTAAACTAAACTGTTTTTCAAATGGCGGGGAGGACTGAGATTACTAAAACCACGGCATCACATTGTGTATGTAAAAGAAAATTATCTTTCATTTTGCAATATTGGTGTCTGTTTAGCGGTGCATCCTACATTGTGCAAAATACAGCTGTTAATTACTAGCATTGAACAGAAAATTCCTGATCTAATTAAAAGGCAGTATATTGCTATTAAGTCCCAATTTATGGACTGATGTCAGCTGTAGTGACAAAAACGTGAACACCTACAAACTTTTAATGTGAGTAAAGTAAAATCTTCCATGCAGAAATTTTAACCCAGATTTCACTATTCCACCAAAACCAAGCAACAATTGTTGACCCCCAGGAACTGAATGGTCATATGGCACTTTTTACAGAAAACCTCCAGGCATCGTTCTCAGGTATTAAGCTCAATGGAAACATACATATAAAAAGCCTCATAGCATAGCAGTTAATGAATAAAATTTATTAAAAAATATAGAGTAGCACACTTAAGTGTTTATAAAAAAAAAGATACGCATATCAAAAATCTGTAAAAGCAAATCCGGAAAACAAGCCGAATTGCTTGCATGATGATGTCACGTGTCATGTCAGGCTTTGTCCTACACATTTCATCATGAAGTGATGTTGTCAAGTTAGCCTTATATTTCCTCTGACCTGAATTCCTATCTGAGCATGGTGCCTGGAGGTTTGTTGACCCCTAATTTCCTGGGGGTCAACACAATTTGATAAATAGCCTGTGTTGCTTGTGTAGTAATACCCCCTTAGGAGTCGCTGGGTTCTGGGTCCCTCTAACAGTTCTGTACAGCCAGGCAACATGCATTTTATTCCACATGTTGCATTCAGAGTCAGTAAACTGTCCTTGAGCTTGGTTTTGTGATTTTATTAAGGGGTTGATAACTTGGAAAGGGTTGAGGGGTGTAAGGGATGCCCAAGGAACTGCAAACTTGAAGACACTCCTTAGCAACTGTGTACAAATATGGACAAGATAGTCTGTCCTCTGAGAGCATTCCAGCTCTCTGGCGAACCTCTTCAGACTCCAGATGAATCCTCAATCCTCTGGACAAGGGGGCCCAGAAACTGCCAATTTAAAGCACAGCAGCTCTGAATGAGAAGCTTGCTGGATTTTCCACCTAACTGCCCTCTCCTCTTATGCAGCTCAGGGGTGTAAGAGTACTCACACTGTCTTTCCTGATAGCTTAATGGGTTGGTGGCTGCCTTTAGGCCTTTTGCTGGGCTGGCTCCTTCCCTGCTGCTCAGGATATCCTCCCTTAAAGATGGTGGTACAGTAGAGATCCTCTTCTCCAGCACCTGCCTGTAGATAGGCCTCTTCCCTGGGCCCCCTCCCAGGCTCCTAACTCCAGCCTTTCACTCCATCTTCCACCAGACACTGCTCCTGCTCCCCAGCCTCTGTTATTCTTAAGGGTTGCCTCAGTCACCATGCCCAGCATCCTGCCAGGGGATTGGCATGCAAATCCGAGCTTCCTCCCCTCCTCCATCCCTCCTCCAGAAAGCTCTAAGGTATATGGGAGAGGTGGGAGGGCTCCAGAAGCTCTGACCTTAGAACCTCCCTAGCCTGTCCTGAGGTGAACTCCTGCATCACTCATAGGCTGACTCATCCCAGTCTACTACTCAGGCTCTAAGCTAGAGGGAGTTACACTTGTTTTATGTGAATGGAATGGTGAAATGTGGGTGAATTTTTCTGCAAAGATTTTACTCTACTCATATTAAAAGTTTGGAGGTGTTCACGCTTTTATCACTACAACTGACATCAGTCCATAAATTGGGACTTGTTGATGCACTGTTATATATGTTTTTACACTTGTTACTTGTAATATTGTGATCATGGTCACTATTTTCGGTGCACATTATACTTGACGGTTTTATTTCACTTTGCTTTGAGTGTTATATATTTGTTTGCACATCTATATAAGAATGTTCAAATTTATTTTTTGTTATTAACACATTGTGGTAAGGTAGATATTTGTGTTTTTATTTGAGAAACACAATGATTACTTAGAAGGCAGTACAAAGAGAGTAACGTATAGCGCTCAGTAAATTAGTCGGATGATGGGCCAAGTGATTAAAAGACTGTATAGATGTGACTCTTGCCCACCACAAGGCAGGGGCAGAGAGTTGTTCTGAGTAAATTGGACAGGGAAAAGAGAAAATTATATGGATTGTGGGGTTAACATGAAAAGAAGAAGGGGAAGCGTTCTCCCTGATTAAAGTTCCAGAAGGAACCAGCAGGAAGAAATTTGGAGCTTTGGAGTTGCCAGATAGCCAGGAATTTAGTAAATTTTTGAGTCAATTTTGCTTTAATTTTCTCATGTAGCATAACTGAGTTGATTCTGTTTTTAGTTTTGGTTAAGGAGAAAGCGAGGGATTTATAGGTTTTTGCAACTGCTTGCTTAGTGGCTGTCAGGATGTGAAGGAGAAGTTTAAAGCACCTTTTGGGAAGGCCAGGAAGTTTAAGATTTGGCAAGACATATTGGGCCAAAGAAAGGGATCAAGAAATCTAATAAGTCAGAGATCAGCTGGAATTATTGTAGACAAAATTGGCATACTATAGTACATATCCCTAATGTGTGGAGAAATATAGCCAATTGTCCGCACCCCCTAAAATACAGCGGATGATAACCAGACACCCATTGTGTAATTCTAGAGGGCAATAAGCTCCAAGTACCAAAGTGTTAGAACTTTATAATTTGTTTCAACTGCCAAAGCATTTTGGGAGCATAATTTACTTGTTTCCATATCTGGGACCATACGTGTGCACTCTAAACCTAGGTTTTGGTTTTAAGACTGAGTAAAAGTAGGAAGATGTGATGATTGAGGTGAAAGGACTATGGAATACAGTAGTGAGATCTTCCCTGATGCATGAGGGTCAGAGTCACGTTTGCGCTACAAAATGTAAGCTGTAAATAGCCATCAGGTTTTCAAACACTGGATTGTAAAAATACAAAATTATAATAACTGAAATGACTTGACTCTGTCTTTGGTAAGAAAGTGTCTAATTTGAGTGAAATTTCTTAGTGTCTACTCTTTAAAGGACAAAAAAGAGTGGAATTTGGGTAGGAAGGCAGGGTTGTAAGATGCATTAGAGGCTTAGTAAGAAATTGGAGATTCACTGAATTCTTTAACTGCATCCCCTGTTTGTAATGTAAATTTAGTGATCGGATTGGAGAGTTTTCTTATAGTAGAATGTTAGCGTGCACACCAGTATTGGATATCCATGCAGCATACTATAAAAAGGATATGCACCTAACCATTGTGGGCACAAATAATGACTCATTAGGCTTACTACTAATAAAAAACAGTTTTTGATTGATTTAAAAGTAGATGTAAACAGACATCTAACCGTGGTACCCATATACATACCAGTGTAGGGTGTATAAAACAGTGACTGGATGAGCTGAAAATTGTTTTACACAAGTAGATTGTTAAAACGCAATTGGGTAAATCTTAGTGTTTGAAATACTAGTAGTTTTAAATCTTATTAGTTCAGTTTAATGTAATGCTCTTACACCAGTGGGACTGTACAATCAGAATCTTTGTGCATTCACATAGTTTCACATATGGCTGCCATAAGATTGCGTTGGTAACGTTCCATGAAGATATCTTACTATCAAAACAAAACCAGCTTCTAAACATATACTATGGAAGACATATACTATGGAAGTGTGGGCCAGCTTTACATAACAGATGGACACAACAAGGGTACAAAAAGTATCCGCTGTATCCCTAGAACTGAGTTTTTTTCCCTAGTGAAGCGGACTACGAAAAGGAATTATTGTGCCATTTTCTGAGATCATGCAGCTTCAAAGCTGCAGAATGATACAATACTATAAAATACTATAAAATGCCAACTAAACAGACAGACCACATAAAGGAGCTGTCAATCCAATGCAGGCAAATTGTCTTGAGAGATGTCGGGGGGGGGGGGGGGGGGGCACAAGACCTATTTTACAATTATAATAGGGCAGAAATTTCAGCCAGATTCTTCATTAATGTATAATATCTCACAATTATGTAACTGAAACAGTAGAAAACATGCTTTTTTACCAGCTCAAGTCTTCTTTGTGCCCAGAGTGTGTGTGTGTTTGTGTATGGTATTGCCTTTACTTGCCCAACTAAAGGTTGTATGTGCCGATACTTACCTTCATATAGCATTACTCATCATGTTGCCTGCTGACTCCAGTGTGAGTTTTTGTTTTTGCTATTCTATATTCCTCTGATATCCAAGTGAGAGCTACTGTAGTGTATTTTTTATAAAAACATCACTGACAAAAGTAAAAAAGATTTCCACAGAATGCTATAGATTGCTACCTTGAAAGCAGCATTTAACTCCAGGAATGAATCAAACGTAGTTAAATAAAAATTGTGCACGGCTTTCCATTCCCCTGTTGATTTGGCTTTGTCCAGGTCTATCCTGCAAAACATAACACATAAGTATAAAGAAACAATATAGCACTGGTTGCCTTATCTATGAAAGGTGTAATAATGGAGAAGTTTAATAATGATGTCTTGTAATATTTTATATAATTAAGATACAAAGATTACACAGATAGATTATGTAATACTTTACATAATTAAGACACATTAGATTATTTAAAATAACAAACATGTCATACTTACCTTCTCTGTGCAATGGTTCTCTTCTGGGGACCCTGCTGGTGCTGCTGGCTCCTCCCACCTGTCGAGTGCCACCATAGCAAGCTGCATGCTATGTGGGTACTCGTGTGGGCAGCTCAGCCCTGCCCCCCAAACCCCCCTCACTGGATGCTATTGACAGCAGCAGGAGCCAATGGCTCCCCCTACTGTCTCTG